TGGCAACTAGTAGGTTAAATCAGCACACGTGCTCAGCAGCAATGGGGACAGACATACCGTTCAGGCGTCGCTTCTCTCCCAAAAACCCAACTTCATTCTCACTGTTACTTCGCACTAGGCTGACGACAACAGCCTCTTTCTCGCGACCTTGGAATCCATCCACGCTGCCCAACTCGATACCCGGATACTTCTCCCGTAGCATCTGCGACAATATAGCCAGCTGACCGTTATAAGGGGTGATGACAGCGATGTCCTCCGGTTTCAACCCGGACTGTACCAGGTTGTCTACGTGCCTCGCAACAACCATTGCCTCCATTTCATTGCTCTTACTTTCACCAAGAAGGGCCTCTTTTTGCCCGACCTCCTTATCTTCAGTCTTCTCAGGGAAGTCGCCTCCCTGAGTGTCCCAGAATACCAACGGCTCTTTTGTATCGTCGGTCTGATCTACCTCGTACGGTAGGTCTTTTAGAAGACGAGCCTTTACCGCCTCGCCAGCCATCAATTTAGACTCGTACAGCTCATCTGACGGAAACCGCATGATGGTTTCGTGCATTCGATACTGTGTCGTTAGCATTCTTTTGATGCCTTCACCATGGATCGAAAGCAGTCGATCGAACATGGTCGTTTCAAGAGATACCTTCCCAACCACTCCCTGATCACCATCGTTGACAGTGTCCGCCTTCGCTGTCTTTGCATCTTTAGACTTCTGAACGGCGGACTTAACAGTTGGAGGCAGTTGTAGATGATCACCAGCCAGAACAACCTTAGATGCAGATAGCAGCGAAATCCAGCATTGCGCTTCCAAAGCTTGACTGGCCTCGTCAATAATCACAACGTCGAACTTCTGGTTCTTCAGTTGATGGCCACCTGCCCCATGTAGGGTCGCAAGAACCACGTTGCTCTCTCTAACCAGATTGTCCACGCATTTAGACTCCCGCTCCCTAAATTCCCGACGTAACTCTTTCAGGTCCTGGTAAATAGCCCGCTTCTCCCTCCCAAACCTAGTCTTCCGAATACTAGCTTGCTTTTCATCAATCTCCTTCCGAACATCCCTCACAATAGAAGCAGCCTCCGACGTGTGCGTCAGAACCTCCAAAGAATGCTCCAGTACAGAAGGCAATAAACGCGCCGGATGCCCAATACGTACAACAGGCACTTTCTTCGGCGCAAGTCTCTCGACAATATTATCGACCGAGATATTCGACGGCCCGCAAACAAGCACCCGTAATTTCCGCTGTACCATCTGCAAGATAAGCTCAATCAAGGTATGCGTCTTCCCCGTACCCGGCGGACCATGAATGAGCGCAATATCCCGCGACGCCAGCGCAAACCGAATAGCCTCCTTCTGCGAGTCGTTCAACGTCGGATCGTTAAATTCAACAGCGCCCATAGCCTCATAATCCGGCAGCAGCGGCGTCGTATGTCCAAACGCAACCCGCATAAAATGTGTGTGATCGGACTCAGTCATCTTCCCCATCTTTTCCATCGTCTGGTTCATCCGTCGATACGTCACATCGTTCGCAAGCTTTATCAGCCAGAGCTTCTTCCCCCATAGCTCCTCAATCGCCTCGTCGTCTTCCTTGGATCGTCCCCCGCCGCCCCGTTGACCAAACGCAACCGAGATGCTCCGCTCCCCAACCCGAGTAACAACGCCCTCCGGGCCCTTGGGTGGCCCTGCACCCGTAGACTTTCCATCTTTGCTCGCTTTGTCCTTGCCGACTTTCTTCGTCGAGCTCCCGATCTCATTCACCCGGACCACATCACCCACGCGGATCCCATGCGCACCGAACTGAGGTTCTCCGTCCTTCCCATCGTTGTCTGTATTCTTTGCGGAAACAGCCGAATCGGCGCCGAACTCGCCCACGACGCGGCCGCCGAGGCCGGTCCGGCATTGCGAGAGGACAATCCCCGTTAGCGCATAGCCTGTTGCTTGGAGGGTTCGTCTGGTAGAGGGTGAGACGGATGCGGCGGTGCTCGCGAGTGTGGAGGACGAGACCTCGGCTTCGTGTTCTTGGAGGAGGAGCTGTTGCTGGGTTTGGGCGAAGAGGGGTATGGGGATTGGTATTGGAGCCATGAGGTATAGGTTTGGTTGGCACTTATATAAACATTAGTTTTGTGTCGATGAAGATCATGGATTGTTTGTTTCTGTGATGAGAATGTTATATTGTATAGGGTTTGGGATATCGTTGTGTAGAGCATTCGGACGTTGGTTTGTTGTGTTCGGAATTAAGAGCGAGCTGGTGGGGTTTTATGTCCGCGGGGATTTCGTTAATGATTTCATAATTTGACCGGCTTAGTCATGTATTTGCAACGTTGTCTAGATATTTGGTTGATCAATAATTCTTGCAAAGATGGATTCAATTGGCGAGTGGTATTTGAGGATATTAAGTCCTTTATGTACGATTGATGAGATTGAGATAAACGTGGCGATACTGTACATGGGCTCAGTACTTCTTTGAACAACGCACCAGAACCATGATAAATACTGGATCTAACGGCCTCTATGGGAAGGATTTACACCAATGTGGAACGGAAACAAAACTCATTAACTAACTTTGAAAAAATACAATTGTAGGCGAAAAAAGAAGATAACAAATAGACTGAGGGCTAGAGAAGAAACAAGATATTCACAAGCACATCCTCAATACTTTCTTAGGGTAGACGGTAGACAGCTGCGTCTCCGGATATTGGAGTAAGTCGTTGAGTCTTCTCGGGGCGCCTTATTGGTGAACAAATGGGCATCAGTGGATTTCTTGAACTTGGAGGACCTGTACAAACATGTGTATTCTGTGCAAGGAGGTTTGCGCCTCAGGCGCCAAGCGCGCAAGAGGAATATTAAGGAATGTTATGTTAGTCTCATTACCAAGCGTTGGAAGATGAGAACTGAAGAATAGGCGAATGATGCGGGATAATCCAGGGGTAGATAATACCAGCCCGAGGTTGATTTGCTCCAAACTGGCGGTTTATGTGTTCAGGTGCTTTTGGCCAATAAACGGCATGTGGCTGGGTTTGGATCTTCCATGACACACAAAACCCAGCACAGCACGCTCCGCGTCCCTTTCATATGAACGCTCATCTGCTAAATACACACGAAAGTCTTGGAGACCACGTAGGTCCACAAATGCTCTGAGAAGTTTGCGCAGGTATTTGTTCCTACCTGCAGTTGCTCCATTGCCATAGTTCTTCGTGCCAAGGTCGATGATTGTGAGAGACAGGCGAGGAATATCAAAGTGTTCACGGATGAAGCGGCGCAACACTGACCAAGACAACAATGCTGCGTCCTCCACCCTGTGAGCAGTCCTGGCAGGGCTTCGAAAGGTCAGAGGAAACTTGAACGTCATGTGCCTGATCTGCATGGAGGACGATGTAGGGATATAGTGCAAAAGTCTCATTATGAGCTCAGGGTCTTCATCCGTGAATGCAAAGTTGTTCTTCGAGAAGAACACACGACGGCAATCCTCATAGAAACCTCGGCTGACTAGGAAATAGGGCGTGGGTGAGGAGAAACAAGAACAGGTGGTGGAGAACGCCGTTTGGCGAGCATAGCAAAAGCACATCGCTCGCAAAGGTGAGCAAGTACCGCAACAAGTGAGGGGATAAATGGTCGGTCGTTGGCGTCTGCGGTCTTGCAAAGTTACGAGGCCTTTTGGACACTCTGAAGCCATGATATAAGGATCAGGGCGGTTGATCAGAAGTTGCTCGAGTATAAGAAGTTGGACCTCTTTTGGAAGTCGCAGAAATCCAAACGGAGGTCTATCTCCAAGGCTGTTGGTCAGCCTCCAGCAGCATCGCTTGATCACAGCTCGAACATCGTTCTCCTGGTACTGATTGAAGTGAATAGCACATTGCGCCAAAGAAGGGAAATGGTCCATTGCACACATCAACTTATGCGCAACCTCCAAATCTTTGACCCTACACTTCAGGCTGAAGTATGTGAGAGAAGGCATCCTCGACGCAGCCAAGTCACAAAAAGCAACCCACATTTTCATGATTGTGCGATGGATCCCCCCATATAGCTTGAGAAAGCGCCTATCACTAGGACCCAGATCAATATGTAGATATTTCAAGTGTTCCATACCCCAAAGTGTCGCTTCACGGAACTTGCAAAAGTCTGCCCTCCTGTAGAGCATAGCGCTGAATCTGTTGAAGCCAAAAAATATAGAACCAATTTCATCGCGGACAGCACGAGAGGCCTGGAACAATGCAGTGGGTAGCCGAGGGTGAGTACAGCCCTTGTCAACAAAGGCAGTCCATGACCCCTTAGTCTCACGCATGGAGCTGCGACTACAAAGCGGTTGAAGCGTGTGGTTCCATCGGACACACTCGCTAGTGATATCAATCAGACAAGGGCGTAGTAGTCCAGCATACTCTAGAATCTTGATCTTGACAGTTTCTGGCAGACTGAGAAATGATGCACCCGGCTGGAGTGAGAAGCCCATGGCCACCTCCATGTCAGAGGGGGCAAACAAGGAACCTGCATCGGTTGACGGAGATTCCGAGCCGCCGAGGCTCTCCATAGAAGAAGTTGGAGGGTTCAGTTCATTGTATAATTGCCAAAAGGCCTGTTCATCGGGATCCAAGGTATCCATTCCGGGCCTGTTGTGATTGTTTTGACAGCACAACAGTCAGCAGGTTGCCAGGGGATTATGAGGACGAGCATTTGACAGTGAATAGCGATGAAGGGGCCTTACACGTAGTGAATGAGGATATCGGCAGAGAACCGCGTCGTAGGGAGCGCGTTGTAAGAGTCGCTTAATGATTTATGAATTTGATCATGGATTGCGATAAGACACTCGATAGATAGGTAGGTGGGCTGGCTGGAGCATCAGAAAGGAAGACAAAGTAGGATTAGTAGCAAGGATGACTACTGGGAGGATGAGGAGTAGTAGAAGAGACTAGACGAGAAATATTTGTGCATGTAACAAAAGTCAATTGGATGTCGGTAGTTCCCAGCAGGGAAATCAAGTTGGAACCAGAACCTCGTGCCTGGGGCACTCTACTCACTCCCCCTCAATTTTTACTTCCACTCCGCCTTCAACATTCTCCTCCTTAGCATTGACCTTCCTGCTAGATACAAGGCCTCTGATCTCGCTTTTGCATAATTTCGTCCCCGCGAGGTCACAATCCCCGCATTTCCTGCCTACTGGTAAGCAGACCGTCTGTCCCAGCCCGACAAGCAGCTTGTTAATCTCGTGCCATTTATCCTTTGGCAGCCATGATTCCAGTGCCTTGCGGGTCTCCTCGGGTGTTTTTGTCTTGTTCCATCCCCAGAGGTTCGTGATACGATGGACGTGGACGTCAACTCCAATACCTTCATGCTTTCCCCAAGCAGCGCTCATACAGAGATATGCCATCTTCGGGCCCACTCCGGGGAGCTTCATCAGCTCCTCGGCAGTGGGTGGAATGTCTCCTTGGTACTGGTCGCGAAGAATGATAGCTGCGGCCTTGATATATTTGGTCTTGTTGTTATGGAAGCCCACCTTACCGATTAATTCGTTCAGCTTCTCGGGGGAAACAGCCAAAATATTCTCAAGATTCAAGGTACTGTCTCTGAGAGGCTTTTCCAACTTGAACGTGTCCTCGTCTAGCTCTTCTTTGATTACACCAGGCTCTATCAGAGGAGCTTTGCCATCCCCAAGTTCGGTGTGCAATCGCTGCATTGCCACAGCCGTGACGGTGTCCTTCGTTTGGGAAGACAGCATCAGCGCAACGAGAGTCTGAAACCGTCGGTCTCGCGGAGATGATGCACGCCAATATAACTCGGCACATCCCATGGTATCCACCGGAGCAGTCGGGTTAGCCTCGCGCATCTTTTTGACAGTGGCGTATATCGTGTCCCAATTGGAGGGTGGCTCTACTTTGAAAGAACCGTCCTCTTCTTTGATTTTTCGTGCAGGAAGGCGGCGTGCCTTCTGTGCTACAGGCTCAGTCTTGACAGCTTTTTCAATCGTCTTCTCTGGAACCCTTGTTGAAGCTCGAGGGTTGGCTTTCCGCGGTGGCGCAGGGTCTACTTTGCTTTTCCGCCGCTTCGCCGGAGGTTCCATGATATCTTCAATGTCCACTGTGTCAAGAGACGAGAGAGATGATGTTTCATCATCACTTGCAGGTAACTTAGGCTCAACATGGCCATTAGAGCTTCCGTTATATGCAAAGCTGCGCAGGGCATGTAGATTTGAACTGCGCGTTTGCCGGCGCGCAGGGGGCGAAAGCGCCTGCAAGACTTTCTCAGTCTGCTTAGATGCTCGAGACCGTCGCATAGTGCAATACAAAGGGGTCTTATGTATATGTAGCTTAAATATGTTGTGACATTCACATGAATCAAGGATCGACGGAATTTTTAGGGGTCGGATAGGCTGGGTCGCCAAGCGCATTCATGCGGAGCGGACGATCGCAGAATTACATGGGGAAGAGAGACCCACGGGCCGGGTGTTAAGCCTCGGCGCAACTCACGTCGCGGTGAGTAACCACTAAGTTTGCCCGTGAGGTTTACTCCCTTGCTTTTTAATCCTCCAAGTACCTGCGGACAACAGCAACGCCAAAGCATATTCAATTAAATCTCACATTCCAGTTACTGCGATTATTCGCATAATAAACAAGCATCTCAGCGCGACAAATTCGCGATCCACATTCCACATAAACCCCCCCCCCCCCATGGCGCCACCCACCACCACGAAACGCCTCCTGCGCGAACTGAAAGACTACACCAATAATCCAAACGAAGCGCTCCTCCACCTCGGCCCCATTGACAGCGATGACCTCCTCCACTGGGAGGCAGTTCTCAAGGGTGTGAAGGGAACACCGTACGAAGGTACCAATTACCCAGCCGGCCCTCCCCGCTTCACCGTTCCAAGAATCTCGACTAATAACCATATAATCCAGGTGGCCTGTGGTCCCTCTCGATAACGATACCCCCAAACTACCCCAACGCACCGCCCACAATCCGCTTCAACACCCGCATCTCCCACCCCAACATCTCCTTCACCACCGGCGAAATCTGCCTGACGCTTCTCACGACGGAACACTGGACTCCCGCGTACACGCTCTCGTCGACCCTGACCGAGATCCAGCAGCTCCTGACGAACCCAGAGCCCGATAGTCCGTTGAACGTGGATGTGGCAGTCTTGTTGCGAGACGGGGATATCCCGGCTTGGGAGAGTATCGTGCGGTATTGGACAGAAGAGGAGAGGTGGCATGGTCACGAGCCTACTTATCTTTCACAGGCTTAGATTTCTTGCATGTTATTTGGTTCAAGCCAATAAGAAAGGGAAATGCGGGTGATAGATGGGGCGGGGCCAGGAGGGGCAGCCAATTCAGTCAAAGTTATTTATCTCTGTCTGTTTAGTTATGTCGACATTACGATCAAGCTTATATATATATATATACACACTACGTACCAGAACAACCATGTCATTTACAAGTTTCAAGAAACACCACTCCAGCATATCTACCAATACCCTCAATTGCTCAATATCTGCAATACAGAACAAAGATCTAAATATGCACACGCTTGACAGAACCACATATAAAGGAGAGACATGTCCACGCTCGTAACACCAAACCCTGACCCCCAACTTCAAAGGAGAGACACATTTCGGAAGGAAGACGCCAAGTATGCAAGGATCGTAAGCCGGCGTCAGAAAGGCGTAAAATACCACCATAACAGAGTCGAATATTTTCAGAAGAGAAAAAGAAAAATAAACGCCATTAATGCAGAACAAACAAACAAGGTCACATTTTCAGGAACATCATGTGTCCCGATTACAGGGCCATGGCGACGACAGCAGCACCACCGACCATGACGAGGAGTTCGCGGGTGAGACCGGTGGTCGGGGCTGCGTTATCGGTTTGCAGGCCCGGGGCGGCGCTGGTGGGGGTGGCGATGTCGGTTTCGGTGGGGTGCACGACGGTGATGGAGGTGATGGTGCTTCGCTCGCCGTTGGGGAGCGTGGTGGTGCTCTTGAAGGTGGAGGTGAAGGGGGTTGTGTTCTTGGTTGTTTGTTCGGTGGTTGTGGGCTCCGGGGCGGATGTGGTGGTTTGCATGGTGGTTGGGCCCCTGGTGGTGGTGGACTCCGAGGTCGTGGTCTGCTCCGAAGTGGTCTGCTCTGAGGTGGTCTTTTCGCTGGTGGTCTTTTCGCTGGTGGTCTGGTCGGTGGTGGTGGTGGGTTGGTTGGTGGTGGTGGGTTTCTCGGTGGTCTTCTCGGAGGTGGTCTTGTCCGAGGTAGTTGGCTTCTCGGAGGTGGTGGGTTTCTCAGTAGTGGTGGGCTTTTCGGTAGTCTTCTCCGAGGTCGTGGGGGAAGCTGTTGGCTTCTCGGTAGTGGTAGGTTCCGTAGTGGTTGGTTCAGCGGTGGTCTTCTGAGTCGGCGTGGCCGTGGTAGGCTCCGCTGAGGTGGTTGGTTCCGCCTGGGAAGTCGACGAGTCAGACGAGGAAGTAGAAGAAGCCTCTGTAGTAGAAGGAGAGGAAGGAGAGGGAGCTTCAGTGGTGTGGGAGGAGGGAGCTTCCGTGGTGGAAGAGGGAGCTTCAGTGTTGGAAGGAGAGGATGGTACTACAGTGGCTGAGGGCTCGACTGCGGAAGAGCTGTTCTGCCTCTTCAGGTTCAGACGGGCGGCGAGCGAACTATCCTCGGCACTAAGAGCGTCCACAGCTTCTTCGTCGCGGCGGAAGACGCCATGACGGAACTTCTCGAACAAGTGAAGAGCCTTGTGGATGTCGATGTTCTCGAGATCGCTGTAGAAATCGGACTTGTCGGACACCGTGTTGGCCTCGGACACCACCTGCTCCGGAGTGCCGGTCGCGATCGCAGAGGATGCGATTAAAGAGAAGACGGTAAGCTTCAAAAGACGATTCATGGTGACTGTTGAGGTCGGATGAAGTTGTATACAGATGAGTCGGGTGATTCTTGAGAGAAGCTGATTGGTAGCTTGGCGGGTGGACTGATAGGCAGCAAAGACGACAAGTTTCTTCTTATCAATTGGAAAACGGTCGGGAACCCCTTGTCGAGTCGGTGGAGGCCACAAGAAAAGCAAATATGACCAAAGAGGTGAATTAAGAACAATGGGAGGGAGAGAAAACCGGATGTGGAGGAAAAAGGGAAAAAGAGGAAAGGGTTGGACTTAACAGCGAACAAGGGCTTTTTGAGGTTTCAGGCCTGATAATGGAACCTCAGTCAGCCTTCCAAGTTCGTTAGTTCGTCGGCTTCGGATCCGCCAGAAACTTGGAAACTAAAAATGCAAGACAAGAAAAAAATTTTTTTTCTTTCTTGTTCAATTCAAGGAACAGGTAATGTAACGAATCACATTGACAGGAACGGTGGATCTCCCTCGTGGAAAACCACTCAGATTAGACCTTAGAAGAATCAAGACACTAGAAATAGCAGTTCAATACCGACTAGAAGGAAACTACGAAGGAACTAGTATAGTTAAATCGTTGAAGTGGTACCCATGGTCGGGGTGCACTAAATTCAGCAGCAAGTGGCAATGCACCGGTGCGACTTGGCTTCTCTTAAGTATTTGTTTGTACTAATGTATGTAAGGTATGTACTCTTATCGGGCAGATAAATTCTCCTCCACGTCTCCTCCAGCGGGCGACGTCAGCACTAAGCCCAGTTATGCATGGAGACGCATACCAGTGATGTTGAGAAAAAGCGATAGGTGGTGTGCGGTAAGGCAATGCTCTGCAAGTCCATATAAATAGCTATCAGATGCGAGGTGAAAGTCAATCATGATTCGTCCTTGCATGTCTCAGAGTTCAAGACCACCCGGGAAAAATCCAAATAAAAAATCAAAACAAAAAAAAGAATACGGTACGGAGAGAGACAAAAAGGGCCGAGATCCTATCGAAGACTGAGACGAGCGAAGAAAAAAAACACTAATCCGTCTATGATGACACCACTGTGAGATCAGAAGACGAGAGTTCCCCCACTTGGCTTCAGGTTAACCGGTACAGAGTGAGACTTCAATCGCTACCAAAAACTCCCCACAACGAAAGTACCCAGAAGTACTCGAGTCTCTACACAGTACTAGTAGTACCTCGACAACATCGCCGATCGTCTCGTATTTGGTAGGATTATTATTCTTGAGAAAGGGGAACGTGTCGATCACAGGAGATCGCTTCCCCCATCTCGTAAGCCACTATTGACAACACCATTGAATCGTCATTCGCACCGGTTCCTTCTTCCACCTGGACAACTTCAACAACTCCCCCCCTGGTTCCTGTCACGACCTCGGTTGACGAAAACTCAGTGAAGGTTACATCCTTTCATGGTCAATTGGGTCCTCAACAGGTACAATGGGGACACAACCACCGGACCAGAATCTCAATTGGGAATTGAGTCGAAAACAATTCCTAGGTTAATCTCTCCGCATTCGGACAAGCGCCGTTCTGATTTTAGCTCCGACCGAACCGGGTGCCGGATCTGCCTTCAAGGTTCCGGAACTAGCCTGTGGCTGTGCTGCCCTTCCCATTGGTCGCCTGGCTGCCTTAGGCCGGGCGTAGTTGCCAATCTCTGTCGTCACGTGATATGTGGTTGCTAACTCATTTGTAGTGGAGAGCGAAGCGCTCTGCTATTAACTACTACGTACTACTAGTAGTAACTAGTTAGTTAACTATCTTTACTTAATTAATAACTAACTATTGAGGGCACTGACACTTGAATCGAGATGATTACATACCTTTAACAAGGAGTTCGGATTAAAATCAAATATGCAAATGCATGGAACTTAATCTGGTCAGTTAGGCCCAATTAAAGTTAGCTATGTTGGGTACATTACTAGTATATCTCGGACATTATTAGATGTCTTGGAACAGAAGTGTGAGGCTGCGTCGCTGCGGTTAGGAAGCAGAACCAATCGAACTCTCGTAAAGGTTGTCTGGGTAGTCTCCACTGTCGGGTTTGTTGAGCTTATACGAGGTTGACAGAACTCGTTACTCAATTTACATCGATCTCGACCTATCATAATCACTGGTTGCGGATGGTCCATGAGTTTGCCTGGCGGTGAGGATTGTCATAACAACTTGGCCTTCTCACAAAAGGAATAGATCATCACTATGCCTCTTTTGGGCACTCGTGAGCCGAGACAAGACTGAGTCGTCGGTTGAGAGTTTCACCTGCTTGCTGTCTCAGGAAAGACCCAGGAGGCAAGAGTGCTCATGAAACTGAGTCCCTGCGACACCGTTCTACAATTCATCAATGCTTCGTGTCTCCTGAGTATCTCTATTGCTTCGACTATCAGTAATATGAGGGATCTGAACGCGCGCCACCTAAACACAGGGCTCTTCAAGCCTCAGACTCTTTTGGGGAGGATTTTGTCATTACTAGTCAAGTTAACGTACCGATAACCCTGACAAGTAACGGCTGCCCCTCCACCCCGACTCTTGTGGAAATGAAATACGACCGTCAGAAGAACACAGACCCAGTGCCTGATGAATATATTATCTTAGTTCTTACGAACTATCTATGTGGAGTGCAGCTGAGTGAGACTATCTTCTTAGATGTTTTTTATCCAGTTTAATATATTGGGACTAGAAAACATGATTATGGGAATTTTCGGTCTAAAGAGTGAACACAAATTTGGAAGACTCGGTGCGTGAGCAGATACGCCAAGCCTTTAAGCTTTTCCTGCCTGTAAGTTTCCACCTTCTTTCATTGGGATGTATATTTGACTCTGTTGTCCAGCGATTAAGTTGACTCGGGAATTCGACCGGCGCACCCGGCGATAGAGCATGTCTTCTGGGACGCAGCAGCGAACAGCGTGCGTAATAATCCCTATCAATAATGAAATCAAGCATTCTTTAAGCATGCCTTATGACGAACCCTATCAAATTCATTAATAGCTGTATCACCAGCTTTAGAGAGAGTGGACCTGCGCGGGCAGAAGACATGTGGCGGGATATTAAATGGAGTCTTTGGGACATGGCAAAGTCTTATGGCCGGAATAAGAACAGGAACCCCATCAGGACAAGAACAAGTGGACGAACACTGGGATCCTGTGGTAGAGGCCCGTCTTTTGCTTCCACATCTTGATAAGTTTCAAATTGATTCGTTACTATTGGTATTTAATGAATGTATCCGAGTCGTTCGACTCGTCCTGATGCAAAACCAAGCCACAGTGCGCCTCCCAGCCAGAGTGAACTACGAGCTGAATTTTGATTTGATACTCTCCAACGAGCCATCCACGCCTTTGTGCCCGAAGCATGAAGCATCGCCAGTATCGCCATGGAATTTGAGGACAGTCCCTACGCAAGATTATTAATTATCCATGCACACAGTTCATGATAAGACACAGCGTAGCTGTACTCACTCAGATCAATGCTGCCTTTAAACGATGGACAATCGCAGTCTAGTATATAACCCGCCCCCTTTGGCCTAGATACCGCGCACGCCCCGCCCTCTTCCTCGCACTTGCTCAGGGCTTTCCCACTGTACATCAAATATATCAGCATCTCAGATTCACCTGGCCAGGACGACGCCACGTACTTATCCTCAGCGATCAGCTCCTTCTTGGAGGTATCTACACCGAAACACTGGTCCAGGTCCAGACCGCTAGTCTTCTAGAACCAAACGCTTTCTCGACTATAGAATCTCACCTCGAGCCTAAGGCCATCCAAAGGCTGTTGTATGTCCCAGTATGAAGTGGAGTTTAGTGATGGTAGCAGTTGTGGAACTGCTTCCACTGCTGCGATACAGCTGAAAGCGAGAAGAGAGAGGGTGTAAGAGGCCTTCATTTGGCGCGATATAAAGATTCCGTAGTCTTGTTAGTTTGCAGTTCAGTGGAAGTTAACGAAAGAGAAATCCTGGCCATATTTATACATTGTCTCCCTTCATCGACTTTCTTCCCAAAATTGGGGTAGTGAGCGGAGGGGATGAAATCTCAGAACTATATTGCTGTACCCTGTTGCCCTGTCCTTTGTTACCTCGCAAGTAAAAGCTGGTCGGGCATACTAAGTAACCTTAAATGAAGTGAGGTCACGTCGTCGTTGGAAGAAGGAATACCGTTTCTCTAGTAGGTACATAGCTAAAATGATACCGACCAACATCTTCATCCCGGGCGAGTCTATCAACGTATACCTTTCCGATCACTTTCCGCCAAACACTTTGCGGATAGATAACATGGCCACCTTCTGACAGACTTCGGCTACAAGTTTGTCTTGTCAATACAGAGTCTTTCTGTGGATCTAATGAAATTCTAATTCCAGGAAGAGATCTCTTGTATGATACGTGACGGCGATCTTTCAAATTAAGCATCCGCTCATTCTATTTGTACAAGTCTGACGACCTTGCAATTATTTCAGAATTGTCAAAAGGGATCGCTAATCGGCGCTAATTGATACATACATTGACTTCCCCTTGAGTAGTGCATACTACACAAGCAAATCATAAAGCGTTACGCCAACATCTGCTGTTCATACATTCCCTGTCAAGTCCTCTCGACAATTCCATACCACTCGCCCCATCCGATAACTTTGCCTTCGATCTGACGGGAAATCTCAGCGAAAGTCGCCATAGGGCTGAGTTTGCTTTGATCGATAGTATGGTTAAGCGCGATGAGCTCAAAGAAATATCGATGAGGGCCCTTGCCTCGAGCTGGTTGCGGCGCCAGATAGACCCCTCCTCCGCTGTTTGCTCCATATTTGAACCCACCGCGGAGACGATAAGGATCGTTCCTGGAGTCTGCTTCAACGAAATCGGAACGGTGTAGACCGATGAACACCGGTGGAATTCCATAGTAGAGCCCGTGGATAACTGGTGCGGCCAGGGGTTCGTCGGGGTCTTCGCACACCAGAACGTATTCCTGGGTGTCTGCCGTGGTGATGGGCCACCTCAGCTCTGGGAAGTATCCGCTACCATCGTATGCGTGTGCAATATCCATGCGTGAACCTGAAGCGCCGATTTCTGGGCATTCAATGAAGAATGTTGGGTAGGGATAAGCGGCGAATGCTGGACCTCTTGTGAAGAGTTTGTCTTCGTGCCCTTTGGCTCCGGTCAGGAGCAGGGAAAGAAAACAGCCGATGCCGTATTGGATGTAATGCATCTGAATAAGTTTAGATTCCTGTCCACTTACGATGGGAAGTGTCTGGCTTACCTTAACAGATAGAGAGTATGGTGCTACTTTATCTGAAAGTTGGAGATGGTCGGGGAGAGTTGGAAGATGATGCTGCGAGTGGTTCGTGAGAGACTCTAGGGTTAATCAAGGTGGTTAACCTGCGGCAAGAGTTCTTCAGGGAAGGTCCTAACTTGCCATAGCCATTTTGACTATAAGCCTCGAGAGGCTGCAGTTTCCTCTTTCGCAGTGCGATGGTTTCAACCCAGGTACTACTAGTAGTAGGTAGTAGTAATAGAAGTGTAATATATCTTGATCAATTTACAAGGAATGTCATTGGTCCTTTCCTTTGGTTTGTAGTACTCTTTTGAAGCTACAACTGCTTCCAGACAATGTAGACATGCCGTAATAGTAGCACTCGCTAGACGCTTGAAGCAGAAAATTGCTTTCGCGCAATTATTTTGCGGGGATGTATCCCCTCGGAGACTACGTATATGGGGGAAATACGGAGGAATACCTTTCCTGTGGCCTGTCCGAGTTACTCCGTGGCACTTTTTGCATGTCCATATATGTACATACATCTTTCTTCGGTATCATCACACGAACGCTGCCCTACATGCCCGTCCTTTGACAGGTACAGTGGTCCACCCTAGATGCCGGGCAAACCTTACGGTTATCGGTTAGGAATTCAATCGATGCTTTAAGATGTTCTTTTTTAACGCAGGGGGTTCGACCCGATATCCCCACCCCGAACCCGGCCGGGCCGAGTACAGGTAGGTCAAAACCAGCCCACACAACTCGAGTTGATCATGCTTCAAGGTTATATGGTTGGCATTCCTTTTCGGAAAAAGATCTGTACTGCTTACACATTCCATGCAAGGTTGCATTTTTCAGCTATGACCAAATATTACCAGACAGTCTCAGGCAGGGAAGATCGACATTCTATTATCTCTTCGCCCACATAGCCTTCGACCATTGACAAGTACTATGCTGAATAACTTATATTAAAACATCTGCAGGATGGCGATTGTCTTGGGACGAAGTTGGTGCTATATCTCGTTGAAGCTCCCATCCCCCAGCTCTCGAGACGCTCAAGTGCAGGTGTATTCTTTGGTCCTCTGGGGCTCTCACTTCTTTTTAACTTCTTTCTTACCACCTTCTCTTTGACATGGCGCATTCAATGTTTCCCATGTACTTTGGGCTACCTGATCCTCATATTTTCAACCTTCCTTCCGATTCCCATCCCCTACCTAGCAGCCCTGCGTCGCGGTCCGAACTGTCATGGGATAGGCCGATCAACATAAACCCGGCTCTGTTCTATCGTACACTCGATGTGAGACTACCTCTGCTTATCGCCATCCTCTACGCATTAATCGTCTGTACCTTCAATCATATCAATAAAAAGCGACAGAACCGTCCATGGCCCCTTAGCCGTAGTCCGCTATTTAATCAGTTTGTGCTTGTCCATAACGTGGGTCTGGTGCTCTTCTCTGCATGGATGGCCCTGGCCACTTATCAAACAATCAAATCGACCCTAACGAATCAACGGAGTAACCCACCTCTCGCATCTGCTATACACGTACTTTGCAAATTCGACAGGAAGGAAGAATTGGGTTATTTTGTCCAAGGAAGGCTATCGGAAGCACCACATTCGCAGCTGGGTCTAAATGACCACAGTTTTAACATTACCCATCCTGAAATATTGCAGTTTGATTCCTTGTGGGATCGCGGCATTGATTATTACATGTGGATGTTCTATATGTCAAAGTTCTATGAGGTTGTCGATACAATTCTTCTCCTTCTGAAAGGAAAGAAGAGTTCCTTTTTGCAAACTTATCACCATGCAGGTGTCATGTTATGCACATGGGCAGGTGTGAGATACGTGTCTCCACCGGGTCTTGTCGGCCTTCTCTTGAACTCAGTGATCCACACAATCATGGTAAGCGACAAGCAATCCCAGGTTGCTATCTCGAGGATCCGCTAATCTGTACTCAAAACCAGTACTTCTACTACACCCTTGCCACACTCAAGGTTGCAGTACCTGGCTTTCTCAAGCGCATCCTTACTGGGATGCAAATCGCTCAGTTCATCCTCGGATCGATTTTCGCGTGGTCCTACATCTTTATTTCCTACGATGCGTCTATCTGGCCCCCCTTGGGTTCGATAGATAACAAACGCGAAGAAACCCATGGAAATGAGAGTCAGACGAACGTATCCCTTGGCCCAGACAATTCCCAACTGGTTCCCTGTTTGGACAACAGCGGGCAAGTGTTTGCATTGCTCTTGACCACACTCTATCTTATACCGTTGACTTTCCTCTTTCTTCGGTTTTTCGTCAGGTCATACCTGTCAGGACCGAAGCGAAAGTTGGCGAAGAATTAGGCACGATAGGCTGAGTGTGAGTTGCGAGCGTTCAAAGCTTTTCTCTGTGGAGAACTCCGTGAGTCCGCCTCGTAAACGGGATTAGTTTGGGATGCTCAGAGGCAGTGGAGGAAACTGCTTGCTCCAGATGGACTACAACCACAAACAGATAAAAGACCTGGGTTGGAGGCTGTATACAGTAGAAAGCTGGTTTCTTTGTACTATATGAAAGACAAATGTCAATTAACCGGAACTATTATGGCAATTAGCTACATATACAACTTTGATTGATATCTTCATCCCCCAGATTAGCCATGGCTAATACCTCCTAGCACAGGGGCTGTGCTTTTAAGGTGTCAATATAACCCCGCATGCAGGGGCTATTAAGCCACCTTGTAAGGAAGATATCCATACAAAAAGACGCTAAACCAACCATCTGTGTAGCAATCATAGTCGGATCTTATTGAGCACTGCTACCTGTTCTTCATACACAGCGTAGATACGCCGACACTTATTCGATTTAGTGTAGGTGAACAAAACCTGAAGCGCACAGATACCGATCGAAGCGGCAACAGGCAACCTGTTCCGATTTGCATATGTGAGGCAAAAGATCGATATGACTTCGACTAACGTTACCGAGACATTTACACAGAAAGCGTAGTAGTAAAGGTTCCGCATCTTCACATCCCCATGCGCAAAGCATCGTCTGAGTATAAGCGTCAGGTGCGATGTGAACCCCGGCATGCCCGAGAACAGAACTACCAGTATGTCAATACATGGCCCATGTACAAGTAAGTCGGGTGTTGTTTTTCAAGTAGGTATTGTTGACTTACCCCAGAACATGCCGATTTCGGACATCTTTCCCAGATACCGCAATTCTTGTGCCCGTTCTACTGGTGCGTTCACAATGAGGAAAACGAGACCCTGCACTGCAAGGAGCACTCCCATGTGGTGGACCACGTAGATGAGCCGTAGACTCGTGTCGTAAATCAGGTCCAGTAGACTGACTGCAACAACTATGTAGCCGGCGAAGGTTGATGTCTCCCAGAGAGTCACTGGCCAGGCGTCGTAGTAGAGATCAGTCCATTCCTTGCCGCCTATCGTGACCTGCGCAATGGACGATGATACGCAGACCAACAGCAGACCTTTCAGTACTACATTCACATGGTGGAAGCAAAACCTTTGCTGTTCCCGAGCGGGGAGCGCCCCATACATCGGACCGTACAGAGAGTGAAGTGCGCGGGAATCAAGCATGACGCGGTTCAAGGCTGCGCCGAACAGCAGAATACCCGAAAGAGAGATGCCATCGTAAGTGTTTATTCGCGTTGCAGCCAGACATTCTTGATGCAAGGTCGGATGCTGCAAAATAAAAGTCTTGCAGGCTGCGTTATATAGCCTTTCCATTGGGTGTGTATAGCGTCCTCTGTAAAGGTTAAGATAACAAGGTAGGACGATTCCCTGGGAGACGAGCACAAGAGGAACCGGTGCAAATGAAAGAATTTTGTTCAAGCATGCCACACAGCTGGGAAAGCCCAATTTAAGTCTTAGCTAGCATCATCTTGGCGATGTGAGGTATCCATAATCTCGTAAATAGCTAATTCCATTCCCAACACAGACCATAGCCGACTACGCAACGCGGCCAGACTCATCAATATTTACAAACAGTGTGCAAATATCTCCTGCGTGCAGGGCGCCATGATACCAAAGGTCATTGAGCGGATGGGCGCTTCTATGGAGCCTATTTCAGAAATCATGATGGATGATCAGCACTGTCGCTATCCAATCCATGCTAAGCATGATAGTAGTTCATATTTGAGGCATTTAACACGTATATAATGCATTCCTCTACAAGGCATGTGCTCTCCACCCCTGCACAGCGCACAGGCTTTTCTAACTATGTTCCCTCCTCTCCTACACCTTCCTTTCCTGATCTGAAAATCTGCTTGCTCTTTCATTATTTACTTCCCCTATCAAAGGGTCAAACGTGTTAAACACCAGAGCTTGGCTGGAAATGTTTCCTCGAATCCTGTTGCCCACAGATATGGACCTCAAGACGAATCGGGGTGCGTGCCATTTGTGAGGAAACGCACACAAACACAGTCAGCAGTCTCAATCCAAGCTCTGATTGTATCCAAGCCTGTCTGAGTGCATTCCTGGCAACGATGAATATTCGTATTTTTCATCACCTCCGTCAGGATACAAATGATCCTTGATGCGATGGATGATGGTGGTAAGAACTACAGCTGTCAGCATTGCGTGTATAACAGAAATGAGCGAATTAGTAGTCCCACAGGAGAAGTATACAAGGCCACATGTGTATAGAATGGCCACGTATGGGGAAGCCATAAATCCAGCTTCTTCAATTGCTTGACACAAATCCCTCGACGATCCAAATGCTACGAAGCTAAGTACCACAGCCACCTAGAAGCTGTCAGAGACATATTCAGAGACCCAAGCCAAGGCGATATAATACCAGCGGAGTTATATAACGCAGATTGCTGTGGACATCTGTTGAAACATTGGCGCAATGGGGTACAACCAAGATTTCGACGATCCTGAAAGCCGCCGCAGTCACCATAGTATACCCGAGGGTCTCGTGGACTTTCTTGACCAGCATAGCCTCTTGTTGATGAGATGTGAACAATAGCCCAAGAACCACAACGGTAAGTGCCGGGATAATTGTTCTCTTGGTATGATGTCCTTTTCTTGTGCTCATCATGATGCTGGTTAGTGATCCACAAAGCACCAATATTGCATACGATGAATGCTCTAATCGCGTAAGAAAGAAATGCCAGTCCTCGTCTGCATGGTACCCGATTATCAGGACCGCAATCATTACCAGGCTGCACACAAGAAGTAATACAGAATCATAATAGTCTGGTGTTCTGTTAGTCAGACGGGGCCACAGCCCAGCAGCGGAGGAGAGCAGTAGGATTCCTTCGCTCATCACGAGCAGCAGGAGAACCGCATGCGAGAGGGTATTGTAGTAGTGCTCACGAATCCCAACGGATTCCAGGGCGCCAGCTGTTATGTGGTACCACCCCAGGGTAAATAGCCCCATGGTTGCAATACTGTAAGCATGTCCCCAATATTCTGCGACATACTCGGTGTGAGCGTTTTGTTTTCGATGGATATATAATCCCAGTGATTGTCGCATGAGCAAAAGAATGGTCAATCCGATCTGGGGGATTCTATACGTGTGATATCCACTGCCGCCACAGATCCAGAGCCCAACAAGCGCTACACAGACCGCTAGGGGTTCCGCAGTTGTGGCCCATTTTGATTGAGTTATCTGCTAGACGTTAGATATGCCGATCTTAAAAAAGCATTATATGGTTTTATATCACCAAGCAACTTACTCTGAGAGCAAAACCTGAGGGGATCAAGAATGCAAAAGCTAGTATCTGCAAAGAGATGGACACCACGACCAAAGCGGACTTGAGAAAACACTCTGTGTTAGCGGAGGGCAGGCGTGACAATTAGGAAGTACATACCATAGTGAATACGATGCCTTTACAGACGTTTGCTCCGGCAAAGATGAGGGTGCAGTCACTGAGATAAACTTGGAGTATCAGTACCCGTCTACGATTAGGGACCTCTGGCTGAGTCAAGCAACTGTTCAAATGGAGTGAGGGAAACCTGTTTTCTATCTGCAAGAAAGCTTTTTTTGGGTGCTTGGTGCGTTTTTGTGATATATCAGAGCTCACCTTAAATACTAATATACTTCGTCCAGGGGCCAACAGGTCCACCAATATATTCACGCTTTTGTTTTGGATCCACATAAAAGAAACGACTGATTAGTAGCGTTTGCGGGTATGCGAGCTACTCCGAGGTCCATTTATCTTCTACAAAACATGATCTATAGGGTGTTCCCACTTTGTTATGCCGGGGCATTTACTACCACCGCTCTTGGTCATAGCCTTGGGCGATTGGACAAATCCATTTCCTAGAAGATCAATACGCGTCTTTGTTTTCGTCATGGAATATTTCAGATAGTCATTCCGGAATGCTGACGGTGAATTCTAAATATGCGTCTAGCTAGAGCCCCAAGCATAAAGTACTACCCAAGTCATTGATCTTGTCTTTGTGATCAAATTCGGGTTCCAACAAGCATTTACTTTGCCTCCATAAGTATGCCAACCTCTTGGAATGGCCAGCCCTTGGCTTGTCATCCAGTTATTGACGGTGTACGAACTCTGTATGGATACCAGCCTTCTTTGGCCGCTGGAGTATTCTTTTCGATCATCTTCAACATCTTGATAATATTGCACATTTTCCAATGTATTCACAGACAGATCTGGTGGTGTATGGTCTTCGCCATTGGCTGTTTAGGTGCGCAAACACATTTCCACCGATCTCTTGAACCCCGTTTCAATATAGAACGTCGTTCGGGCTAATCCATCTATTACCATATAGTGGAGGTCCTGGGATGGTCTGCTAGAATATGGTCAGCCAAATGCCCATACAGCAAGTCTGCATTTCTTATGCAGCTCTCTACCTTGATCATAGGTCAGGACGACACTACGGAGTTCAACCAGCAGCTGAGCTAACCAACGTCCAGCCCCAACCTTTTTCTCAGCCGGCATTTACCTACTCCTAGGGTATATCATCCGACTCTTCGGGCAGAAGTCTTCCTACTTCCGGTCGGGTTGCTACTTCTGGTTTTTCAGTGCCTGCGATCTCGTTTCCCTCGCAGTCCAAGCTGTTGGGGGCGGTCTCGCTTCCGCCGCACTCAATGCTCACCGAGATATGGCCGATGGGACACATATTATGATTGCCGGTATTGCATTTCAGTTGGCCTCGACACTGGCATTCACCGGCTGTATGGTAGACTATGTCTTTAGAACCATCTATCCCCAGAAAGGTACGATCCCAAAGGGTGTTTTGTTTCTGTTTGCTGGCATGGTGCTTAGTGTTCTGTGTATCTGTATTCGAAGTATCTACCGGCTGGCTGAGCTGTCTCAAGGATGGTCGAGTTATCTCATCACACATGAGAAATATTTCATCATATTAGACGCAGTAATGATGGCTATAGCAGTGGGGATCTTTGTCATCTTTCACCCTAGTGTGATGATCTCGGCAGTTGATTCACGGGCGAGGAGTCCCTATCGGGAGCTGGCGCCGATCATTGTCACATAATACACAGCGCATATGATACATCTCAAAAACAAGGGGTTGCTTTGTGGTCATATTGACAGTGAATCTATGCAGTATTGAACAAAAAATATGGTGCATACTCCGGGGTATCTCGGGGTGCATCTCAAATGCAAGCCCCTTGCTTTGTACTGTCGATATTCCCTTACAGCACTCGTGGTCGATATCAGGAATAATCAGCAGAAGAAGGGATAAGTAAATGAATAGGACAAAATAAAAAAGTAGAAATAAAATTAAATAGTTTTAGTAGAGTCTACGACAGAGAGTGTGCCTGCGGCTTCCATGACTGGTTTGCCCTCACAAATGGAATGAACAGTGGGAGCCTGCGGAATAATTGTGCAGTATATGCAGTAATTTGAAATTCAAGACATTCTTAACCATCTCCTAGCATAATATCTGGATCATGTTACGCGGAAATCGGAACCCATCCGGGGCAGCCCTCTCTCACAAAATAGTTTGGGTAAATGCCAGAACACCACTCCAACTTGCCATCGAAAACCCGCGAGGCAAGGCGCAATGTCTGGTGAAATGGCCCTTCAACAACGGGGTAGTTCCGTATCCTTTGACGATAACATTGAGACCACTAGACTCAGCCGGTTACAGCTGTTAGTGGTTGCTGGCATATACATCGGTAAGCTTACTCCTCATCCCCATGAAGACTCGTCAAATGACAAGCCACATAGGTGTTCTCCTGGCAAGCGCGGGGGACACGTTGATTGTTGCCGTTTACAATTCTATCGGCTCGGATTTTCATGATCTCTCAGAAGGAGCATGGCTGCTCGTGTCGTATAGTCTAGGCTCTTGTGTTTCCTCTCCTGCCGTAAGTAGCTTCCGAGCAACTTATCTTTTGCTTTCGTTCCGAATTAACACGATCACCGCGGACCAGTTCGGAGCGCTCAATGACCTTTATGGAAAGAAGACAACGCTGTTATGGACATATTTCCTCTTCGCCGCTGGTAACATCTTGTGGTTTGTTCAGTTGCTGATACCAATTTACCCTCACCACGTTCACCAGCTGACTCCCGTTTCTTTACTTTCTTATATGTCACAGCGGAGCTAGCACCTCAATGCCTCAGCTAGTATCAGCAAGAGTATTGGTTGGACTTACCAGCGCGGGAATCATTTCCTCATCGTCCGCCTCTGTCGCCGGTGCGAATTTCACAAGCTTGAAAGGCCCTACTGCTAATATTGGAAAGGGCTCCTCCCATCCTATAAGGCTACTTGGCTTCGAAGTTATGCCGATATAGCCAATACAATCGGGCGCAGCGTAGGAGCTGCAGTTGGATTTTTCTTCACAAAAACAATCGGATGGAGATGGTTAAGTAACTCGAGGCATCCTTCAGAGGTTATAGTTAGTCCTAACTGTTATCCAATCATATAGGTGCTTCTATAGTAACGTGCCATTGATCCTATTCTGTGCTCTCATTGCCGCATACCAGATTCCACCTGATTCGCCCAAGTCTTCTCAGAGCATGGACCATAGTCTCCTTTCTGGAGTCCGACGTATTGACTGGCCTGGTATACTTAGCCTCGCAGGCACAATAGTGCAACTAATTCTCTTTATCCAGACTCTTCAGCCTGGCCAATTCCAGCAAGCCCGTCTGTTGTACATAGCGGGGGCTGGGTCTATTTTCTCTATGGCACTCTTTATTTGGATAGAGGCATGCTGGGTGTCTCACCCACTACTCCCTCTTGTCTCCATGAAAAAGGCGTTTGGAAGATACTGTCTTTCACAATTCTTGATATTGGCTGGCCGAACCGGGGTAAGTAGATTTATTCTTCGTAATGTATCTGTTTATGGCCGACTATAACATTCACGATTAGCTCCTCACCAGTGTAGTTCCTTACTTTGCTCGAACTGATATTGGAAGTGATACAACAACCCTCCTAGCAGGTGGCATGTTACTTGTTGGCCTACCTGTCGGAGGGCTTTTAGCAAATCAAGTAGTCAGACGGTGAGCCGCGTCATAACCCCATCGATACTCCCCCTAGCTTACAGTGCTCATCTCGGTTAAGAACACGCCGTTATAAACGCTTAGGGATCATTGCAATGGTTCTACTTGTCTTAACCTATTTCTCCGTCTTCCTGCGGTGGCGGAAGGGTATCCAAATTTGGGAAATCGTATTTCTGTTCCCCTCAGGTCTAGCAGCGGGAATGCTACTTGCTACTCAGTTCATTGGCATGGCCGCAGAGCTAACAGAAGATAATCTAATACAATGTACAGGCACGTACTACTTGTTCCAACAGCTGGGTAGAATTCTAGGCCCTGCCATAGGTTTCGCTTTGATCCAAGGACATTTCAAGGCAAGATTGAACTGGAAGCTACGGGCTCTACCCAATGCCTCAGAGGTACGTCTCCTTCAGTTCTGAGCTATATCAGAGTTCTAAAGAGTTACCAGCTGGTTCATAATATCCTCAACGACGACAACTTCGCCCATACATTGCCAGCCCCCGTGCAGCGTCTTGTCCGTGAATGCTATTTGTATGGGTTTCAATTTGCTGCCCGTAAGTGCCATTATTGAGCCTGAGTGATGGAAGATCTTGACATTGTAGCGCAGTGTTTCCGATAATCAGTACTATTGCGGCGCTGCCTATTCTTATGCTGGTAAGAGAGGTCGATTTAGTCTAAGGGATGGGGCCCGGGCTTCATAATTCTTCTTCGACCAGGGCTCGTGCCGTAATTGGCCCACAGCCGCTCTCGGGGCCTGAATGCGACTCCACCAAGCGATGTATAGATCATGATATCCATCAACATTCTGCAACAATGGCCGTCGATAGTGGTTTGAGGTGCATAATACGTCCAGCTAATAGCTCTAATCAGACGGCTGTCTTTCGTTGATCATCCGAGGTGCATCACGTAGTTTAAAGTTGACCTTATTGGATTAAAAAAGTATTTTAAGGAAAGAAGCTCAAAATTTAGGAGTAGGTTGTGGGGCTTAGAAGGATCATAACTTAACAACTCAGATTCTTTTGCTAAAATTCTTACTGACTAACCGTTTACTTTCTCCTGCAAGCCTCATCACCCCTACCTCAGCTGAAGGAGACCAGCCACCAGGTCCAGAAAGAAATCTCAACATGGCCCCGCGGCAGTCCCCCTCCTGCGCGTGTAGGCCCGGGCCACTGGGTAGATATGACACCCGCGATAACTCACCAAAGGAGAAGAGAATCGACAGTCTGGTTAATCAGATGGGATATTCTTTCACTAGACAGCCCTGATCAATTGCCTCCCTTGTTGTCTCTGAACATATGCGGTTAATGGAATTGGTCAATCCGAGACTGTAATTTCGGGGTTCAAGATAACGTTGTTTCAGTGAACGTTGTATGCCGCTAACTATATGCCGCTGCAATGTAATGTTTTGCGTCGTCTGGTGTATTCCTTTGCCTCTATCTTAGCATAGCTTAGCTATTCCTCCATTTGACCCGAGGCTCTTGCGTATAAAAAATCTAGTATACATTCATAACCGAGATAGGCCTTTCGGGTGCGCGTGTGGTGTATGCTAACCCTACCACTTGTGCTCTAGGGGCCTTTGTGGGGACGGGGGTTAAGGGCAATACTGGTAATAACAGCCTTGAATTGCCTTGAAGGGCCCCGTAAAATATCAAATACTTAGCATTTTTAAGCAAAAATGGTTGCCAAGCTCTTCGAGCCTAGGGGTGGCCAAGCAATGACCCTAGCCCCTAGAACTCACCTCTTATATCGCAGACCATTGAGTCTCTTCCTATATTCTCGTTGAATTCATCGGTATATTACCTTCAGACGGTCCTGAAGATGTACTTTCAGCCTCTTGCCATCCCTTCGTTGTTTGGCTTGTTTGCTATTGCGCGTAGTGAAGCTCCTAAGGCTCCTCCCACAATCAACTCACTAGGCGCACTACAGGCCTTAAAGTACAATTACCTGGACCCCTGGAACAATGGAGCAGCGGCAGTCTTGGCTTATGAGCCTCGGAGCAGCGCAGAGGCGTGGGCAAAATGCGATGCCATTGGAGAAAGCCTCTATCCCTTCCAGGATACAACTGAACTCAATCGCACCGAATTGGGCTACGAACTTGACTATCTCGTCCATAATCAGGATCTGCAACCACACTATGCACTCTGGATAGGTTCCTCGAGCACCCCTGGGCAAGCCTGCATGGCATATTCTCAAAAACAAAAGGCTGTCATCCCGCTGCCTTGCGACACAAAGCTCCCGACACTGTGTACCTCCAGTGCTCCCCCGACTAATGACAAACACAAAGAACCCGTGAAGTCTTCTCGGATTTCTATGTCATTTGATGGCTATAATATCACTGGTTATCGTGATGCTCGATCCTTTAGGTTCTTGGGAATACCTTTTGCCGATCCCCCGGTCAATGAGTTGCGGTTCGCGCCTCCGCAACCATATACTGGACAGAAAGAGATCGACGCAACGAAACTACCAGCCTCCTGTATTCAATCCCAATCAAGCTTTGGGACGCTTGAAAACAGTTTTATCTCAGAAAATTGCCTTTACCTGAATGTTTATACCCCCGTGCTACCAGCCCAGCTTGCTAAGAGTGTTGCGCACAGACCTGTTGCGGTTTACTTCTACGGGGGCGGATTCACTAAAGGTAGTACGTCTATGATTGACTATGACGGTGGTAACTTCGCCAGTCGTAATGATATTGTGGTTGTTACTGTCAATTACCGTGTCGGAGCCCTGGGCTGGCTTACAACAAAGAATCTCACCACTGGAAGCTACGGTACTCAGGACCAGATCTTGGCTCTAAAATGGGTTCAGCAGTATATAACAACATTCGGCGGGGACCCTTCACGAGTTACTATATTTGGCCAGTCTGCTGGCGGCCAAAGTGTAATTGCAATGTTGTCTTCAAGTGCTGCCAGTGGCCTCTTCTCTGCTGCAGTTGTGCAGTCAGCTGCCCTGGACATACCCTGGTATTCGCGCCAGGTTTACACAGAGATCATCACCCCAAGGATTGCGAAGGTTGTTGGGTGTGATATTGCTGATGAGCTTGTCATGCTGTCCTGTCTTCGCTCTATCCCTGCAGCTAAATACCTCGACAACTCCACCGAATTCGTGCACGCGTTAGACGAGATTGCAGAGGCAGTAGGGAATGATTATCTGCACACAAAAAAGCTCCAGGTTTCTAGCTCGCCATTCATGCCTATCATTGATGACCGTGGTTCGGGCGTCATTGATGACCAATTCCATACCTTGCTTGCGACGAATCGTCTCCCCAACGCTGTCCCCATTATGTTAACGACAATGACCGATGAAGCCGCCCTCTACGTGGATCGCTATGTTCCTCACATTCCTTTAATCGGTAGTAGCAACATTGGCCTGGATATATTTTTCAACGCTGTCTATCCTTCCAGCCTGGCAACGTCTCTTATCAACTCACGCGTTTTCCCTATTAACTACAGCGACCGAGACAGCCTCCGAAACACCGGTGCCGACGCTCTTACCCACTCGAAATGGTTCTGTCCTCAGGCCTATCTACTTCACCACGGTGCCCGTACCGTACTCCCCCATCTCTATACTGTCCAGATTCAGCACGGGCACGTTCAAACCACTGTTGACGTCCCGAAAGTCTGCTCTCCCAATGACAACTACAACGCCACATGTCATACGGCTGATGTCCTACCTATCTGGGGTACCTTGAACGCAAAGACCCAGAATGTTAACCCATATTATGGCCTTAGGGACATCACCCACTCTCAGATGCTCAATGATATCTTCAGCTCATTCTTCCGTACCCATAACCCAAATCCCGATCCCGAGCTTCTCAAGATTCGTGGCCCAGCCTACTCTTCCACTTTGGATATTTTTGGCCTCTCTGGATATCATATCCCCGAGTATCAGACTGACGATCCAAGCTTATGCTTACTCGGAATGCCGCCAAGCCATATTCAGAACCCGGCCAAATCTGATAAATGCGACGTGTTTACTAATTACGGATATCCATTCCAGCATACGGAGTACAGCAGTTAGAATCTACTAGCACATGGCTGTCATATGGTGGGCGCTGATTTGGTGTGATAGTGGTCGTTGATCATCCATTGCTGGTTGAATAAAGGTAGATTGAGCATTCTTGTACGTCAATTGTGGCGTGGACGCCTTCCTATAGTGTGATGATGTCAAAAGATGATCCTTTCGTCCACCGCAGAATAGTAGCGTAAGTCATATGACACTTCCTTTCGATGTTCTTGCACCATAGAAGTGTTGTATTGCTACTCAACCACTTCTCCTCTGAGTGTGTGATGTATGAATTTCTTTATTCACCGGTGATTTAGTAAACACTTGATGTGGTCAGTTGATCGAGAAAGCATTAGGGATATAGATTTACAATCTTGTCCTAGATATCAACATACATCAGGCCTAGCCTGAAGAGAATATTCCTTTTTATGTAAGTGTTCCAGCTGGTGACTTCTTCGGTTCCCACCACATCCGAGTCCAAGCCCAGTGGCTCCGGAGCCGACAAATTTTCATGAGACATGTCCTCCATGTCCTTGGATATCCTTCCACCGTCTACGGAACAATAATCCATAGCCCTTGAGCTAGACATGCATTCCTCCATTTCAAAATGGTGCATCATAACGGTCTTCATCTCTTGTTTTGCCGGGCATTTTCGGCCTTTGGCACGGCGGTCTACAATACTTAACCGGCTACTCTATCAGTTTCTTCGAGCGGTGGGAGGCGGCCAATTGAACAGGATGAACCCTGGATCTTCCTGCATCCGTTCCCTGGGTATAAAAAATGCTAAGTGTCTACCTTGGTTTTGACTTCATGTATGACTGCATAACCCACAACTTCTCTGCAGTTCAGTTCCATAACGTTACGAATTGAATCCTCTCAAATCTATACTACTCCTTACTTGGCGGAACACTGAAGCTGTCGGATGATAGAAACTCATGGCAACCAAGGTACGCAGTGTACTGTATCTGGATCAATTTACCAGGAATGCCATTGGGTCTTCCATTTCCTACAGTTCGTTGGAACTCTAATTGTTACCAGAAAACGTGGAAGTGGCATAATAGCTTTGTTAGCTAGACGCTTGGACCAGTGTTAGTTATATCCATTAGTCAAGTTCTGTCCAATGCAACACTAATTTAGCGAGTGGTTCGACCTAACCCGAGACTGCCCGTTAGCTGCTCGGCTTTTGCGGGGTGACAGGACATATGAACCAAAGTCTACGCTATACGAACCATATAAATGCCGAGGTCCCTTATACCAACTCCACCTCAACCATATGATGTTACATCAACACCCAATGCCACTTGTATAAAGCCCAAGAACCATGTTGTATACCAAAGAACCACTCTCTACTATCCACCTAATTCCATCTATGAGTGATCACAACACCACCTCGGCATCCCAACCCACCATGCCAAAATTAGAGCCCCTGTGGGCCACTATCGTGACAAGCTACAGGCCCTCAACCATAGAATTCACAGGCACCCTGCTAATCCAAATCCTCACCTTCTGGCTCCCCTCGCTAATCTACCTGGCCCTGCCCACCCTCTTCCCCAACTGGTCAAGCCGCCACAAAATCCAACCGGCCCCAAAACAGCCCACGAAGAAAGAAATCCACTACTGCCTCAAGATAGTCCTCCGCAACCAGCTCCTCACCACAACCCTGCACCTCCTCCAACTCAAGCTGCTCAACAACAACTCCTCTTCTTACACCCTCACGCCCACCTTCCCCACCCTCCCCATCCTGGCCCGCGACTTCCTCCTCAGCCTCCTCGCCCGCGAAGCCCTCTTCTACTACGCCCACCGCTTCCTCCACCGGCCCTTCTTCTACGTCCGCATCCACAAGCAGCACCACAAGTTCACCGCCCCCATCGCCCTCGCCGCCCAGTTCGCCCACCCCATCGAACAGATCTTCGCCAACGCCCTGCCCATCTCCCTGCCGCCGCAGCTGCTGCGCAGCCATATATTAACCTTTTGGGTCTTCCTGGGGTATGAGCTGTTTGTCACCGCGACGGTGCATAGCGGGTTTGATTTCTTTGGGGGCAAGGCTAAAATGCATGATCTGCACCATGAGAAGTTCAACTTGAATTACGGGAGTTTGGGGTTGTTGGATTGGGTGCATGGCACTGATCGGTTGGAGAAGAGGAGGGATTGATTCATTGATATTCATTGCAAGTGATTGGGCTGGGGAGATGTTGGTGGTTGGTTTGTGTATATGTGTAGGTTGGATGGTTCCGGTTTGTATATATATATATGTACATTGTATGACTCGTGGTTTGTATATTCTGGATGGTGGAGGTGGGGAATAATTGTATTAAGGTAGTGATGACGATATGAATACAATATCTGTGCGAGGGAGGACATATTACTAGTATGTTGGTAGTAGTTAAGCTGGATATGGAGATCCGTTTGTGCTTTGATACCCTGATAATTATATATCAGCGCAGTCTGGCGAGAGGGAAGGGTTTCGACAGGAACGCGGTTGGAGGTACAGCATAGATAGAAAACAGTAGAGACATTGATGATTGAAGATAAAATAGAATAGAATAGTTATTTCAAAATGCTTAAGCATTCGGATTTCGAAAGAAAAATCTATAGAGAGAATAGTTAGTAGGGAAAATCTTGATGTTCCGGTCCGGGAAGGGATCCGATTCTCCTTGGTATATACACTCTGTAAGACCGGTTCTATCACCCACCCGAATCGAGTTATAAGAATGGGTCTTCTTTGCTTTTGGAGAGAAGGCTTGGGAGTAGTGTTAGATTATTGAGTGTGAAAACAAAAAGAGGAAATATAATGAATGATAACTAAATGATGGATAACAAGAATATTGCCAAGTACTACTTGGGTAAAAAAAAAGAATTGACTCCGATACGGGGAATCGAACCCCGAGCTGCCGCGGAACTTGCTTTCATTTAATGAAAGGCGGCGATGTTAGCCGTTACACCATATCGGATGTTGTTGAAAATATCATCTCTCTTTACATTATATAACGCAACAAAATAGTAACAAACCCAATGATCCCTGCTTCTCTCAATAACATCCCAGCCCGTAATTCTCCAACCTAGTCAAAAGTCCAGACCGGCGCCCACTACGGATCTAGAATTCCGCTTCCGGTCGCGCAAATTTCCAAGCCGCGATTCTGGATCCAGGGTCACGGAGCTTTGTTTCTTGAAAACAATAGATTATGTAGGATGAGCACTTTCCACAAGTCTTGTCTACGGGGAACGGAGCTATTGTGATCATCGATGTGATGGAGTCGTGTTTCTTCTTTATCTCTTGTTGTTTCTAGTCAAAGGCTTGTTTTGATAGTCCAACTGCTGAGTGGATGGATAGGGGGCCTGGTTTATATATCATGGTTGGGGGCCAAACAGCTTATCTTCTTTTTGCGGAAACTTGCATGCTTTGTACGTTGTAATCTTCAAACTTATCCGGTTTGTTCTCATTACTTCATCATAATGTGAAATCTGAAAAAATCGAGCAAGATGAAACATACCTGACGCTCCGGAACTCTGGAACGGTTTTGTCTGTGTGTGCCTGGGGACCTCCATGTCGGGTAAAGTTCCGCATTGGTGATTGAGGAAAGTGGCTCGAGAAACGCCGACGGAACCGGATTCGCCACTGCGGGCGGTCCCTGGCCATGGACCATGGGCGGGACCTATTTTTGGCGAGGTCATAAACAACCCAATCTATTGGAGCGATAATGTGGGTGATTAATTAGGATCATGGTCATGGCTTTTGATCAAGCAATTTGGGCTCGTTTACGGAGGAGACGGTCTGGTGATGCTTGATTGCCAAAGTATTTATGAGCGCTAGAGATCTGGACTCGGACGCTTATCGTCTGGTCAGAGATAATTCTTCTGCCTGTCTTCCGTGCAATGAATGTGCTGGCATGTCTCAGTTGAAACCACATGCAAACTCAATGTACTGTCGACTATTAATAGTCGGAGGGGGAAGTGCGGTAATCTGACGCCACAAAATATGCCATGACAAAGCCATCCATTCTCTGTCATTGAGGGGAGTGGCAGGTTGGAATGCGATGACGGATGGGTTGATTTAACATGGGATATACTACGAGTATAATGTCCAAGGGCATGAGGAGAGGGGACCAGCCCCTATCTGCCCCCGTTCAGGTCAGCATGGTGTGACAATCCTCGGGTCCATTGAAGGGATCTTCAAGGTCGCAAACCTGGGATGGAAGGTGATAATGTCTATCCTATTGAGACTTGAGAGAATTGACTCGCTCATCCCGCGCGGGAGAGTTTAGTCACTGGACGAAGACCGAAAATTGTACTATGTAGTCCGTAGGAGTTGGGCGATTGAATCTTTTTTTTTTTTTTTTTTTTCTAAAAAAGAAAAGAGAAAAATGAAAACGAAGAAAAAGTAAATTAATGTCACTATTGATTTTCTTGTGTACCAGCGTAAACAAATCATAGATCACAATGCAGTTTGTTGTGTACTCTGGAATCAGGGTTGGACCAGGGATCAGCCAACCAAGAGGTCAGGGTCTCAGGGATTCGACGGGTCCAGACCCACCGACCAAACCAAACATTCCCCACCACGGCAAGCCATCTTTCATTCTTCCTTCACGGCCTTCACTTCTGTGTCCACTTCGCCGTTAATGATTGATTGAATTGGGCCCAGTCCGTCCCTCAGCTTGAGTGGAAGAGGGATGGCCATTCACAGCCACCGATGGGGGGCGTAATTTGGGGCAATTTAGCGACACACACCCTTTTGTCCCTGGGTCGATCCCCTCCATGCTCTGGACCAGTCAGCGATCTCTCTGAGCATTAATCTCAAGGGTTTCAGGGCGGATGACGAATGCTTCTGCCGTTAGCGGTGGTTGATCCAGCTTGGGTTTTGTATGTAACTTACCGTTGCCATTGCTATTCTTGTCCCACGCGGCCTTCTCTGCAGCCAAATACAGGTAATTGGTGATACCACCCCCCCCCCCATATGCTGGAAGCTGCCCCAATGCTGTCTCGAAAATCAGGGATGTAGACCCTGCGACGCTGGTTGGCTTTAAGGCGTGCCACAACCCCCCTTCCTTACTACGACTGCTTCTCCTCTCTTCTGCATCCCTTCCTCTTTCTTTCGTACTTCTTCCCAACCACCCCAGTCATTCGTTCAGACGGCCACGTCCACTTCGTTTCTTCTTCGATTCTTATTTTCTGTAATCCTTTGACCGCCAGAGCGTCATCTCGGTCGTATATTAAACATACCTCAGACGGATCTCGCCATTCTTTTCGGGCCGTCGCAATCAACTCCAGTCGTTCGATAGATCAATCAGTCTCATTTTCATCATGAAGGGTTCCGCCATTGCGACAACCCTCACCTTGGGTGCTTCCGCCGTCCTCGCCGCTCCGTCCATCAAGGCGCGTGATGATGTGACCGCTGTCACCGTGAAGGGAAATGCCTTCTTCAAGGGTGACGAGCGTTTCTATATGCGTGGTGTCGACTACCAGCCCGGTGGTTCCTCCAACCTGGCCGACCCCATCGCCGATGTCGATGGCTGCAAGCGTGACATCGAGAAGTTCAAGGATCTCGGTCTGAACACCATCCGTGTCTACTCCGTGGATAACTCCAAGAACCATGACGAGTGTATGAACGCCTTGGCGGATGCTGGCATCTACCTGGTGCTCGATGTCAACACTCCCAAGTACTCTCTCAACCGTGCCAGCCCCAAGATCTCCTACAACGAAAACTATCTGCAGTACATCTTCGCTACTGTCGATGCCTTCGCCGGCTACAAGAACACTCTTGCTTTCTTCTCCGGTAACGAGGTCATCAACGACGGCCCCTCCTCCAAGGCCGCCCCCTACGTCAAGGCGGTCACTCGTGATCTCCGTCAGTACATTCGCAGCCGCAACTACCGTGAAATTCCTGTTGGATACTCTGCTGTAAGTTGACCCTATCCATTGGAGTATGAGAAGCTGGGTATTAATGCACTGTGTGTTCAGGCCGACATCGACACCAACCGTCTTCAGATGGCCCAGTTCATGAACTGCGGTACCGATGACGAGCGCAGTGACTTCTTCGCTTTCAACGACTACTCCTGGTGTGATCCTTCTTCTTTCACCACTTCCGGCTGGGACAAGAAGGTGGAGAATTTCACTAGCTACGGTCTTCCCCTCTTCCTTTCGGAGTACGGCTGCAACACCAACAAGCGTCAGTTCCAGGAAGTCAGCTCCCTGTACAGCACCGATATGACCGCCGTCTACTCCGGTGGTCTGGTCTACGAGTACTCCCAGGAGCCCAGCAAATATGGTCTTGTCGAGATCAACGACGCCAAGGTTAAGACTCTGGCCGACTACGATGCTCTGAAGTCCGCCTTCGAGAAGACCAGCAACCCCAAGGGCGACGGTGGCTACAACAAGACCGGCGGTGCCAACCCTTGCCCCGCCAAGGACTCCCCCAACTGGGACGTTGACAGCGATGCTCTGCCTGCCATCCCCGAGGGTGCTAAGAAGTTCATGAAGGACGGTGCTGGCAAGGGTGAGGGTTTCTCTGGCAAGGGTAGCATGAGCGGTGGTGGTAGCACCTCCACTGGCACTGCTGAGCCCGGCTCTGGTTCTGCCACTGGCAGCTCCGGTAGCTCCTCTGGAAGCTCTTCCTCTTCCTCGTCTGCTGGTGTCATGAACATCCCCAACATGTCCCTGGCTCCTCTTGTCGTTGGCATGGTCACGGTCATGTCCACTTTCGTGGGCGCTGGCCTTGTTCTTGCTTAAAACTTGAGTTCGGGAGTTGTGAGCTTAAGTGGTTTTTGTTTCATGATTTTTCTTCGATATCATTTGTTTCTGTCGGTATCCAGATGGATTATGTAAGGTGTATATCCAAATTGACGAAAACTGTCTGTGGCGTTAACTTGGAAGGGGACGCCGGCAGAAGGATTGTGACTTTGTACAGTTTGTTGGCACATAATTAGCCAGTTTCCATGTGTCCGTATAGAAGCATTAATTGAACGATTCAATTCCCTTTCACGTCATTGTGATCTATTCTAAGTTGACATAAAGCACGAGAAGTATACTGGCTGGTCTGTAGAGCTAATCGCAAACCACAAGGGACGATATTAGCTATTGAATATGACTGATAGATGCAAAGAAAGGACAACGACACCAGGAGTGGTCAGGTAGTGTAGAGTTTGCAGCCTAATGTGCCTATGTACTAGGTTCTTAGTGGGCTTTTTGATAAACCCCAAGAGAAAATGTAAACGGCGCAAAGGATCTTTTACAGTCTATGTACACCAACGAAGCCAACTAGTTAAGAAAATATTGCCCACTAATATACAGTTACCTTTTCAGATTCTTCCCATAGATAGGTGCGAATAATTCTTCTAGCGGAACCTTGTGGCGAATCAGAGCTTGGTCTTCAAGGTAAGTTACTAAAGCTTCCAATGGCTTCCGATTCTCCTCAAGGCCATACGGCCATGGGTCACCACCGAAGATATCATCGATTTCGTCCAGATACGAGGGCAAGAATGGAAGCATATAGCGATGTGTTCCCGGAGACTTCATGCGGCGCAAAGCCAGGTCTTTAGAATCGTTCAGAGCATTGAACATCGACGTCACAACGAAGGGATACCGGTCGACAATTTTCTTCTTGATCACTACTAAATGCATGATCGGAAATATCTTAGTCTGTAGATAATATTCCTTTGTGGCTTGCCGAACGTCAGGAAATAAGTGTCGGATGTGAGGAACCTTTCCCACGCACGAAGGCACTACAGCGCCAATCGTCGCGGCAACGTCTCCATCTTGTAGGCATTGACCGAGTGACTTCCCCGTCTCATTGGGAATGCGGTTAGCTGGCCGCAAAAGGGGTTTGGGGTTTGCTTTCCCGTGAGGGCCCGGCTTCTCAAAGTCGCCCTCGACCCAGGTGATGGTAGACAGGTCGACGCCCATATCTTGCAGTGCCCCTCGGATCCACACTGCAGCCGTCATGGTGTACAACTGCACGCCGATGCGCTTTCCATTCAAATCTGCTGGCGTTTTGACCAGGTTGGTGTTGACTGCAATACAGTCATGGCGAAATGATCGCGAAGGGAATACCGGAATCGCAATGAGATCCCTTTCACCATCAACGTATCTGCATATATACTCCGAGGCCGACATCTCCGATACGTCGAACTCCAGTCCTCCGACCATGCGGTCGAATATGTCCCGTGGATGACCGATCGTGATATAATTTAAATCGATTCCCGCGGGGTGTATTTCCCCATGCGCGAGAGCATCGGTGCGGTCATACCGCCCGCAGGCGAACGATAGGTTGAGCTTGCTTGTCATGTTGGAAGACGACAGACTGTTGGTTGCAAAGACGCGTCATATTTATAATTGAGATACTTCCTTATTATATGTATCTGTTGTTGTGGTCGTCTCTGGTCCACTTGATATTCGGCTGAAATCCAATCTGAAGTCATGAACCTTAACTCCGAGAAGTTCAAAAACAGCTCCGCGTAGTCGACTTCATATCTCCGAGTACTCCAAAGGTGACTGATGCATCTCATTGGCCTTTATAGGATATACAGTAGAATCGGACGAGAGACCCAAAATCGGCGTAGCGTCCATGGAATGGCGTGCAATGCTTGAAGTCGTCTATGTAGTAATCCATCTGTGAAACTAAAGAGAGTCCCAACCTTCGACACTGTACCCATTCCGTCGCAATCTATACACAGAACAGTAATTGAAACACTCCTTTTCATACCGGATCGTACGTCTTACAATAGGACCGAATATATACCTGCATTGTACTGCTAACTAATGGCTGCGGCTAGTCTGTGGTATGCTTACCTATATACACCCAGTCAAGATAATATACACTCCACCATTCTCCGTTATTTGCCTTCAGACATCAACTTTAACGGTATTCAACTTGGTACTACGGAGTAGTATTTGGAAAGTAGCGGGGCTATTTGAAACGGATAGCTGTTCTATATATTTCTTACGCTAATTTAGATTGGAAAGTATGAGCAATGATACAGATGCGAATCGATGTAGGTGTTCGTTGTATAGTAGTACTTTTGTAACTACCGATATAATCTATTTACCTATGCTACCTACTTGAAATTCCCATTATTTTTTCTTCTGGAGACCTCGTTCAGAGAATTCAACTCTCTCGGAGCTGACCTGCCGAACCCTTACCCTAGACCCTAAAAACGGCGCCTGAATCATGAGCCCCACTCGGAGCGGACCGAGTACGCCTCCTTTGAATCCTCTCATTCTCCTGATACTCTTGCAGTCACAGATCGATCTGTTTACTCCGTTCGGAGCAACTCATCGGCTATGGAATTCTCACGATGCTCAATTACCGGCATGGCTTGTCTATATCTGTCAGTCTCGGCATCTTGGTGACCTCAGTTTACCGAGCTGCTTCGATCAACCTGGGTGCGATCGGCCCTCACCTGCGTGACTAGTTCCCATAGACCAGGGTCTCAAGAATATCCTCTCTTTCCGCCCTCAATTCACAGGAATAGCACCTGTCAGGACGCCAGTTACCCTTCCAAGGTTACCAGCAGAATAAGAATTCGGTAAAATTCCGGGTGATTGTCCCCTGCGGCAATCTCTTTTCATTTGATCCGGTTCACGGTCCCGGGATACGGAGACCAATGAAGTTGGGTGGTTTAGTGATCAATCCACAGCAGTAAGAACTATTGAGGATAGTGTTTCGTCTAGATGGGCTGGGCGATTAAAGCGCCATAGGGCATAATACAACTCAAACGGCCGCTGTCTATCGGTGAAACCAATGTCCTCATTAGCTCTGCTTGGCATGTCCACACCGTTGAACTTGGGCCACTTGTGGTCCCGCCCCAAATTGCTTAACTTGCAATGGGCCAACGGCATTTCTTCGATATGGAAGAAAGAGGCATGGATTCCGTGTACATGGATGCTTCACGCGTGGTTTGGCTCAGACAGTTTCCACAATCCCAATTTGCCCAGTGCATTAGTTTCTTTCTCCCAGCCGTCCTTCAATATCGTAGCTTTTATGGGTTGCCTGGCATGATCGGGGCCGTGCCATGGGAGCAGTGGGCTATCTCGATTTATATGAATGACAGCAACTGCCCCGGTGGCTACTCGGCTTGCTTTTCTTACTCAACTATCGCTTTCTTTCCTGTCATTCTTTTCGGCCGTACCGCCGTCACTCTTCCTTTTTTTTTCTGGGCTGCTGCTGGGCCAGCTTGTCCCGTTCCCTTCATTACTGTCATTATACTACCATTCTTTCTTTCGTGACCCACCTTTCATTTCTTTCTGTATTTCTGGTAAATTAGAAGACAATGCGCTCCTCACTCTTCGGAGGCCTTGTGGCCCTGAGCTCGGCGCTCGGCGCTGCGGCCATGAACTACAACTCTTCCGCTTACAGTGATTCGACAACCGGTATCGACTTCCAGAGATGGTGCGATGAAAAGACCGGTTTTTGCTTTGGCTTGGCTCTCCCTGAAACGGTTGATTCCGACTTCATCGGTCAGCTGGTTGTGCCTCTTTCATCCTCCAACGGATGGGGTGGTGTCAGTCTTTCAAGCTCGATGACCAAGGCTCTTTTGATCGGGGCCTGGCCCAACGGCGACTCCGTCGTCTCGAGTCTGCGTGAAGCACAGTCCTACACTAACCCCGACGCCTACAGCGGAGATGCCAGCCTCGAAGAGATCCCCGATGGAACTTCCATCAACAGCACTCACCTTTCCTATACTTTCTTGTGCCGCGGCTGTGTCGTTGGTACGCCCACCACCTTCGGTAAGGATATGGACAGTTACTTCTTTGGCTGGGCTCTCAGTAAGACCAGCCCCAAGTCCCCCGCCTCTTCCGACGCCACTTTGAACTACCACGCTGCCGGATTCGGTAGCTTCCAAATGGTCCTCTCTGACGCCAAGTCCGCCAAGTACTCTACCTGGGCCTCTAAGGCCAAGGCATCATCCACCACCACCCCCTCTGCGTCCGCCTCTGCTAGCCCTAGCAGCACTCCCTCGGCTAGCGTTGCCCCAACCGTCCTGAACTCGACTTATGACTACATTGTTGTGGGAGGTGGTCCGGCTGGTATCATCACCGCCGAACGGTTGGCCGAGACTAAGAAGAAGGTCTTGCTGATTGAACGTGGTGTTGCTCCTACCGTGCAGATGGGTAATAAGAACGCTCTTTCGTGGAACAACTCCCTCACTCCTCACGATGTTCCCGCCCTTGGTAGCTCTCTTTCCAAGCTTGGTCTCCTCGATGACTATCTTTGCGATGATACTGCTGGTATGGCGGGCTGTGTTCTCGGTGGCGGTACTATTGTCAACGCTCTTGCGTTCATCCACCCCCAGGAGGCTGATTTCAACGACAAGTGGCCTGCCGGCTGGAAGTGGGATGATGTCAAGGACGCTGCTTCCCGTTTGTATGAGCGTAACCCGGGTAGCATCCTCCCATCCGCTGATGGCAAGCGTTATGACTATGGCATGTACAATGTCCTTGGAGGTTTCTTCAAGGGTCTCGGCTGGAGGTCGGTCAATCAACATGAGCAGCCGAATGAGAAGCACGAGGCTTACGGCTACCCGTCCTGGTCCGTTGCCAACGGCATTCGTGCTGGCCCCGTCCGTTCTTATCTTCCCTTGGCTCAGGAGCTCGACAACTTCTCCCTCCGCCTCCAGACCAAGGTCCGCCGTCTGGTACGTCGCGGTGGTCGCATCACCGGTGTCGAGGTCGAGACTGAATCTGGTGCCGTCGAGATTATCAACATCCGTGCTGGTGGCAAGGTTATCCTGGCTGCTGGTTCCATGTCTACCCCTCGTGTTTTGTTCAACTCGGGTATCGGACCTGCTAAGCAGATCGAGAATGTAAAGAGCGGCTCCACTGGCATCACCGTCCCTGCCCAGGAGGAATGGATCAACCTGCCCGTCGGTGAGAACCTGAAGGACCACCCCATGTTCACCATCAACGTCCACACCAAGAGCAACTTCACTGCATTCAACACCTCCAGTGTCCTCTCTGGCCCGGCCGCTGCCGTCCAGCAACTCTACTCTGAAGGCTCCGGTGTGCTGTCCGAGGGTGGTCATCGCCTGCAGTTCTGGACCTCCAACGAAGGCAGCGACGGCAAGACCCGCTTCTACCAGGGATCCTGCAGTGTCGCCAGCGATGGTGTCATCACTATGAAGCTGTACTTGACCCACGGTGCAACCTCCTCCGGTGTTCTTGGAATTGGATCCTCTGGAGCCACCGTCATGGAGACCGACCCCTGGTTGCAGACGGATGCGGACAAGGAGGCCGTCACCCAATTCCTCCAGGGCCTGCTGAACGACATGACGAACTCAACCGCCGGATTTACCGTGCCCGACTTCAGCTCTGCCGCCGACATTATTGCCAAGAAGACCAGCGGTGATCACTTCGTCGGAACCACTAAGATGGGTACTGACGACGGCCGCACCGGCGGTACCTCCGTTGTCGACACTAATGCCAAGGTCTACGGTACCGAGAACTTGGTAAGATCTCCAATTCCACATTCAGCCCCAGACCTTAACTAATGTAAACTAGTACGTCGTCGATGCCAGTATCCACCCTGACCTGCCTACCGGCAACACCCAGGCCATTGTCATGATTGCCGCCGAGGCTGCCGCCGCCAAGATCATCGCCGTTGCCGACTCTGTCCCTGCTTCCAGCGCGTCCGTGTCCGCTCCCGCCCAGAAGACCGCCTACCCCAGCAGTGCCGCCAGCAGCAGAGCTGTCACCAGCGCGTCCACGACTCCTGCCGCCTCCTCCGCGGCCGCCGAGTCTACCAGCTGTGACGAGACCTTCACCAGCACCGTTACCCCCGCTGAAACTGCTGCTCCCACCCATGCTACCGCTGGTAGCACCACCAGGGCCGTCCTCAGCTCCACTTCTGCTGCGGCTGCTGGCACTACCTCCGCCGCGGATGCCGCCTCCGTCACCGTGGTGACAGTCACCAAGCAGGTCGTGGTCACGAGCACCACAACCATCACTGTCCTGCCTACCTTCGCCTAGACGGCGAGTAGCAGTGTCAATGGGGAGGTTATGCACCGTCATGTATATCCGCAGTGACTCCGCAATGACTGGGCTTAGTTTTCTTCTTATAGATATTGTCAATATAGAGTTTTTCACTGAAGCTTTTCATTAATATGTGTACCGTGATTCCTACGTAGAACCAACACAAGAAATCTAAATTAGATTGTATGATATGTTGATAAATGCAGTCGATCACACGCCCTTGCCCCTTCGTAGGTCCATCAAAATCGTGGATATAAGATACATTCGACGAATATTAGCATAGTGTTGTATCTATGCTGGAATGAAATAGTTATAAGCTACATTGAGAGAGAAGCTACTTCTTGTCCATCTACTCCGTAGACCATGATTATACTAAGTACTGTCCACGGTAGTATAGTGACTATCTAATAGTTATACCTTGGTAGATATTATCTAATTGTAGTAACAGGAATTAGCATTAATATAATCTAACATCTGAAGTATTGTTCGCGCCCATCAATTGCCTGGCTGGACAAAAGTTGTATAGTGATCACGTGGCTGATGAGCTTTCAAACCAGGGAGCACCTAGGCCAGACCTTGTACGTTACTGCTGTACTGAATGCCTTTGTGAAGTGGTCGTCATGCTGCGGCCTAGCGCTCAAAAATGTTTACCTTTCATTTACCATCAAAGCTTGTCGCCCAGACTTAAACAAACACTGAATGCTGTTTTACCTCGAAGGAATCTCAACGCTCAACCCTTCAGTTCATCAAGCCAGTTGTTCACAATGGTAACTCCATCTATCAACTCCGCAGAACCAAGGGAGAACCTTTTTGCTTATACTAGTAGGCGTTACATATTCAACGAAAATCTTCGGTTGAATGAGCGATATCTGGCATTTAATGTCAAAACACTGGGAATGGCGGCTGCGAGCAGCGTTGGTAGGACCACCGTCATCCAGATGAGAAACTTGCAGAAGGCGGTTTCAACAGGGTCTTTGTACTCACTATGGATGATGTCTTTGAGGTGATCGCCAAGATCCCCTATCCGCTCACAGTCCCCAAAATGTTGACAACTGAAAGTGAGGTTGCGACACTTGATTTTTTACGTACGAAAGGTATATCTGTACCACACGTTTACACGTACTCTTCGGACAGCGACAATGCTGTGGGGACAGAGCATATAATAATGGAGAAAGCCCCCAGACAGCCATTGGATCGTCGTTGGTTTGATCTTACTGCAAAGGAAAGGGTGCATTTAGTAACCAGTCATGTCGATATTGAACGGACACTTTTCTCCATCCCCTTTGGATCTTATGGCAGCCTCTACTATAGACATAGTATACCTCCGAATCTCCAATCTGATCTTTATCAAGCATCACATGGAGATCCTGAAGGCCGGTGTTGCATAGGGCCTTCCGCTGATTACACGTTTTGGCGAGGGAAACGCGCTGTTCTCGATTTGGAACGCGGGCCTTGTTAGTCTCACACTCCTCGTCGCGCTTGGCTGACTATATTTTGACAGTTTACAGGGAAAGATCATCGAGATTATGTTCGTAGCGTGGGGCAACGGGAACTAGAGTGGACCAGCAGATACGGCAAGCCGCAACGGAATGATTTCCCTCATAACAACATAGTCAAGGGGGAGATTTCCCCAGAGATATATCTCGATCTTCTGAGGAAGTTTATTTCAATCTCGCCCTATATTCTTCATGAAAACCGTGAAAGCCCAATGAATACGCCAATACTGCGACATCCAGGTAAAAGCCACTCATTAATTCTCCATAGAAATTTGATGCTAACCAACCCAGATCTGAACCCATCCAACTTATTCGTATCGGGCTCTTGCGAAGTGTCTTGTATCGTTGATTGGCAACATAGCTCCATCCTTCCGTTACTACTCACTGCGGGTAATCCGCCACTATTCGAAATCCCGACCCTGGGCCCCCCAAGAGCCTTGAAAAGCCGTCTCTGCCTGAAGATTATAGCTCTTTGAGCCCAGAAGAGCAATCCAAGGCTGATGAACTCCATCGCCGAAGAATGCTGCTTTATCTGTATATGGTTTTCAACGGTCGGGACAACAAAGCCCACCTCGAAGCACTTCGTTACCCTCTTATGCCACTTCGACAACATATAGTAGACAGAGCTGGCCGCCAATGGAGCGGCAATGTGATTACACTGAAAGGAGCACTCACTAGGCTCACGGACCACTGGGAACAGTTAGTTAACAATATAGAGAAAACCCGTTGCCCAGTTAATTTTAGTTCAAAGGAAAGTGAGGATTTCTACCGTGTTGAAGAGGACTGGTTTAAGGCGACGATATTACTCGAGCATTGGCGGTCTCTTCTGGATGACCTAGGAGAAGATGGATGGGCCAGGAATGAATCGTACGAAGCAGTTATGGAGACTAACACGAAGCTTAAAGAGGAGTGACTAGCTGAAGCAGAAGACGAAGAGGATTTCATGTCCGTGGATTTATTCTGGCCATTTCAAGATCATGAAGAAATGGAGTAGGGAATTACCATCCTTCAATTCCCTAGGCTAAAAGAAAAAGGGTTCTTAGCAATAACACAAATCTGGCAAACACTATGATCAGCACTTCTCGAAACCTCTCCACTTCCGTATAGCTTCTTTTTAGCGTGTCACACGACACGCACCCTAACTAGGATAACACCACTGATACCGCTGTCCTCCCTTTTGCTGAGTCTCGTACACCGCATTATGTACTAAAATATCCTTCGCGTCCAGTAAAGACTGGAACCATGGGCCGCTTGGAGCTTGAGGGGCGACGGGTTCCACGGGTTCCGGCGCGGTGGTGGAAAAGGAGTATAAAGTCAGAATTTGCCCGGCAGCTAAAATCTCCCATGCTGGGAAGGTCCCGCTTGCGGCCCTACTTTTTGAATATCCAACAGATGATGGGAACAGGGATCTCCGCATGTCAGAAAAATTTGTCCAAGGGTGGGCCGAAGCGGGCTGCTTCTGTTTGGGTTAAACGAAGCTCCTTACTATTCCGTGCCTGCTCAACGGCGATATTAAAGTGCATTATTGGTTCATTAACTTCCCCCCCGTTTAGGCAACCATATACTAGGCTTGCTGCTTCGCTTTACCCCGATCCTAAGCGAGTCCCGGTGCTTAAGACGTTGGTGGTGTCCATCTGGAAATGTGGAGATCCACAGGAATTTTCAGTGGAAAGTGCTGCCTAACTGGACCGGTCCCCACGGCAATTGGGGGACATCGATGTGTATCGATATTGCAGCACTTCATATATCTGCTACTTGCCAAGTTGATGATTAGTTGAAGACACTGATACTTCCTTCATCAGCTAGAAGAATGTTCTGGTCCTCCTCGAAAACGCCTACTCCACCCTCGGCTTCGAGGAGCTCGCCCGTGACATCTCCCGTGCCATACCTCTCCTATATACCCGGACTGGGAGTCAATTCTGACAATGTAATGAGCAATTGGGACGAACTGCCGCCGGAGCGGAAAAAAGCTGGTGACCGATGGTCTGCTGTGATTGATCCGGACATAGACAATAACTGGGAGATAGACCTGCTCCATAGTCTGACGCATGACTGTATTGTCAACTGTGTCCAGTTCAGTAGGGATGGGAACTATGTTGCGGTTGGATGCGCGGATGGCGCCGTACGAATAGTCGAAGTTTCAACCGGAGCTCAGGTTGCCTGTCTACAAGACGATGAATACAGTCACGACAGTCTCTGTGTAAGAGTGAGGTTTTTGCCAGATAACTATCTTCTACTTACGGCTCATTGCGATGGCAATATCCGTGTGGGTATGCTCACACCGTACAAGGATATACCTGCTACTAATATATACACTGTCGCAGATTTGGAACTATATGGGGGGTCTTCTGCGACGGATCCCTTGTGGCAGTGAAACTGGATTCTTCACTCTAGATCTTTCGGCCAATGGCCACCTGATTGCGTTTTCTGAGAGGAACAAGACTGTCCATGCTTGGGATCTGGACGCAGCATCTGACATTCGACAGCTTGGCACGCTCCACACCGCTGATAATGTATATATCGTCGCTGTGTCTCCCGACTCGTGTTATATTGCTGCTGGTTGCGACGATGGGATGATCTATGTCTGGCGCGTTGCGCCGCTAGAATCTGGTGCTGCCAGCACGAATGGAACGCAAATAGAGAAATTATTGGAGTTTCAGGCCCACGATGAGAACGTCATGACTCTTACATTCACTCCAGATGGCCGAAATATTATCTCCGGCGGCATGGATGGAACAGCGAAGCTATGGAATATTGGCTCCCTGAAAACCTTTGTCAACGAGGATATAACATCCAGCGACTGTACCTTGATATACAAAGCTCATAAGGTTCGCATTACACTTCTATATAAAAAAATTAGCTCTGGTGGGCCCAACTAATTGGTCTAATGTCCAGGATATGGTCTTGAGCGTCTCCCCAGATCCCACAGGCAGATGGCTCCTGAGCGGCTCAAAGGATATGGCTGTGTATCTCTGGGACATCGTCACTGGCGTTGCTGAGATGCGGCTTGGAGCTCATGGAAACTCGGGTATACGCCAACGATGAGAGATGACTTTGCCTCCTATGTACTGACATGCTGATTTTTGCGTTTAGTCCTCGGTATTGCATGGAGTCCTACGGATAATATTGTAGCGACTGGAGGCGGCGATCGCGTTCTTCGGCTATGGCGGTAAGTTCGCTCGTGTATGTTGGACGGATCTTATTCTGACTTGTCTGATCATAGCCTATATACGATTAGTTAATAGTAGTGTGATGTCCTTACGAAAGTGGATCTGTATTACGGTAGGCAATCCTTCGTCAACTTTACCTTCATACCCTCTGTGCACATCTTGCTCGTTCTCTACATAGATCGGGCCGTCTATTATGTTCTCCAGAAACAATACCCTTGGCAAACTATACAAGCATATAATCTAAAGCTGGCCCAAATCATTCATATACTACATACCCCAACCATAATTCTATAAGCCACTAATATAGGGCGAATTCAGGATACGTAACTGGCAAGTACCATTGTCGATGAAGGAAAGACACCCTTCATACACATTCCCAACATCCTATAACAGAAAAGCAGTCTGATTCTTATATTGTAGTGGCTCCATAATCCACTACCCTGCAGAACATCACCCAATACCCAACATCCCAATGAACCAACCTAAAACGCCGTCACATTCGTAACAATCCCAGCCGGCGACTTAACTCCACACAATGCAACATCACCAGACGAAGTATTGGCCCACGACCAATTACCATAACATTCGCCCCAATCATTCCCCCTGATAACGGTAATCTTCTTGTCACGATAACTCTTCGTCACTGGCTTGGCTTTCTGTCTACACCCGAAAGCCGGAGCGCAGGCTGGGATACAAGCGGCAATAACGCCGGTTCCGACTTCGAGGATGGAGACGATGGTTACGTTTGTTATGGCGTCTATTTGATCGCATTGTGTTAGTGGATAGTATGTTCTTATATCTCATACATTGACTGACAGAAAAGTGGGAGGGAAAAAAAGGCAAGACAAAAGAAGAAAAGAAAAGACACATACATGGCATATCCAGCGCCATCGACCCACTCTGGTAACAGTTCCTCAAAGCATTCGAAACAGTAGCAACAAGACCCAGACTCATCAGCCCATAAATCAGCGTCTTGTGACCCCGGCTAATCCTCACATCCCAGAGGATAACAACCGGCGCCGAGGTCAAGCAAAGATTAACCACGATCGTGAACCCGGAGTGGATATACAATACGCTGTAGACAGATGTCTGGGGCAGACAGATACCGGGGACGTCCTTGTTCCACAGTCTCTCCAGTGGGACGCAGGAGACGGCGAGGATGACGACTGCGGAGATAGTAGCCAGCGTCATGAACAGCATGAGCCAGGCGAGGATCCAGCGCACGGCGCGGCTGTTTTGGATTCGCAGGATGTAGAGGCTGATTGAGTACTTGGTTACCAGGGAGCAGATCACGTTGATCATTTGGTATATCGTGTTGACCTTGAGGATTTGGAGCACGGTGTGTTCTGGGTTCGGGAGGTAGATGACATGGCGGCCAAGGCCGAGGTTGGCTTCGAGTTGGATTGTGATTAGACCTTCTAGGAGGGCGATCTGTTAATGAGTTTAGTAGTTAGGTTCGGGAACTTGGGGTGAGTGAGGTTCGGGAGGGCATGTATATGCCCAGGTGACTACAATGCATGTATCATCCCAGCCCCAGCTTCTGGTTAGACGGAGGCGCACCCAGCCTCGTAGGAGGACTAGTGCCAGTGCGATTGCCGCTAGGGTGTAATATTCTGCCAGCAGGCCGGCAGTTGTGCGGTGGTCTGGCGGGATCGAGATGTCTTGGTTTGGGGCAGAAGCCATTGTGTTGTTCAGGAGTGGAGTTGCCGGAGTAAACATGAAAACAGATGCATTTTATATAGAGATATCTATGGGCTTGAAGGTTGGTATAGGAAATGAACTGTTTATTGTGGGACAAATCTCATCTCGTTGCATACACCGCTACAACAAAGAACTAATAGGTGTCAAGCAAGTATAACCGTTGCATTCGACCAAACCATACCAAAACCATCAAGCATATATGCCTCTTATCTCATATCTCATTTTCACACAGAACCAATAGCAAACGCTCTTCCGGGCTGATGATGTATCTAGTAGTAGCGTTAGGTCACAAGTCGCTGTTTACCCTCGTACAATCTAATCTTACTTGCTTATTCTTTGTTTCCGCTCTCTTTATCTAGATACTCAAAGTATCTCAAAGCTTGTCTAAAAGCATATAAACGATCGGTAGACGATTCTTCACTACCCCCCAAGTCATCCGAATGCGTCTTGTGCATCCATCCTCTACGTATGAGCCCGAAGCTTAATACCCAGTGCACACCTTCTCATAGGCCAGAGTCACGCATCGTATAAGGTCTTTTGTCTTCACCCTGATAGTAAGGGACCGCAATGTCCTTCATGGGCGCCAGTAGTAAATACAAAATAGTAGACTGGGGCTGTGGAGATTAACATGAGATTGGGAGATGCATTCGGCCACGGGCTCGAAGCCATCGAAGCCAGTGCCGCTGGTACTTGTTTTTATGATTTGAAAATGTAAGCCCATGAATTAGAGTATAGGATTGAGGAAGGTAGTGCTTTATTGGGTGCAATTTAATATAGCTTTAGTCGCTTTTACGAAGCTAGGTGTCTGTCATCTCGTACGAAGAACTTCTGGTAGGTCTTGAAAAGGCTGGCTCTCTGTTTCAACTATATCCCGGTACGAGTTCCACACACCTTTGTTTCAGACACATACTACTGCTATCTTACCACAAGTCCAGAGAAAGATCATCAGGGCAGGAGATCTGTTAAGTGTAGACATTAATTGTGTATGTAAAAGCCCACGCCGAACGGTTGATCATGATACGGTGATCTGTCTCTGTGATCCTTTCATGCTGTAAACCTAGCATCTTATATTGAATTCCTTTCTATTTTCCATGTAGCTAGTGGGTAGCGAAATAGAGTAAGCTCGCGTGCATAACGACGATAGGTTATCATTTGTGTATGATTAGGCTGCAGCAATCAGTGAGCACCAAAAGCGTATCTGAATACGCGATCTCTGTATCATGTTCATATAAGCAGTGCACATGAATGACGTAAGGAGTTAATAGGGCTTTAATAGCCGGTGGACTTGTTGATATAGAGTCACATGATGATGTATCAAAGTTTGATTGATACCATTATCAGCAATGCTTCATACGAAGATCCTCACCGTATCGCCAGGGATAAAGCGTTGTCGATCCTAGGAAAGAAGCTAACGCTGTAAAAATAGGCTTGGAAAGAGGAAAATTTGAGGATCGCCCCGACACCTTCCATTGTGGAGCTCTAGGCTAGCAAATCTCCTAACTGTACTCTGTTCTCCATAGATCCTGTCTGGACTCGAGTGGCTGCCGCCCAGGTGAGCTAGCAGGTGAGCTTCGGTGAGTGCTGTGAATAGGTAGGCGAATATCACTGTAGTATGTACATGTAACATATCACATCACCCTAACCCATCCACTGGTTCACTATGTGAAGCGGAGCATTGGCTGGCCCTAGCCCCTCACTTCACTAGAAAAGTCGGCACTCTTTGGCGGCCTTACACCGCGATAGACTGCATCGAGACAAACTAATCAAATGCGTCTCTCTACGGGACCCTTATGAGGGTGAAATCTAAGATTGACAAAAGGAATCAAGTCAACATAGCATAAGTAACACATTAAGTACATCTGTTAATTTTACAAAATAAGCGTCTATAGTCTGTATTAACGAGATAGAGCCATCTAAAGCAGAGGTCCAACCCTGAGGCTATTCTTGTTCTGTATTTTCCTTTGAGCGCCTCCAGTCGTGACCACGAGTATATACAACCCATAGTGTTGGGGAACTGATCAGACCCATACAGGCGAAGATCGTCCCCGTCCACCCAATACCAATAGCATTGATTAACGGTAATGTTGCCGCCACTGCTCCAGCACTGCCTCCATATCTGACTATATTAAGTGCGGCCATCGCAGTGGCGGGTTGATGAGCATGGAGGTCTATGATTAGCATGCTCAAAACATTACTAGTTCCGGCTGTTGCATTGCCCAGGAAAAACATCACCACCAATGGGACCGACACGTGGACGTCGTACTGCATCAGCCAACTGTAAGCAATCATCCAGACAAACCAGAGGAATGCCATCGGCAAGATTATCTCAATACGGGCCTTTTCTAGAGGGATCTTCAATAGCATCTGTCTTGACTGTTGGTTTCGGGCAATCTCAACGCCAGCAAGCCGCCCATGACGTTTGAAATTACGGTCAGTCCAGACACCGCATGTCCAGCGAGCTGTCAAGCCGCCAACCGCAAAGGGAATAAATGCCAGTCCGACTTGGAGTGCATTAAAATTGTACTTGCTCTCAAACAGAAAAGGAATGCAGCTTAAAATCACATTCCAGCCGCACATGATAAATGTGCTGAATAGGATCAGAAAGCCGAACTGCTTCGTGGCAGCGAGCCGAACACTATCGAACACACCAGGCCTACGTTGGAACGTAACTAGACTCTGGCGATTGGGGCTCCCTCGGTATTTGGGGCGCACAAGTGCCAGTGCCGGTCGGTTCCAGCGTGGTGGAGGCACACTCCCATCCCCTACAATGACCCGGCATGTTTCCTGGAGAAATCCGAGAATGAGAACGAGTATTATACCCCCAAGAATAGCCAGAAACCAGAATATACTGCGCCATCCTAGATACTGGACCAGAATACCTCCGATAATGGGGCCGATGGCAGGTCCAATAGTGAATCCTAAGGAGGTATATACCAAGTACTTGCCACGCTCAGCTCTTGTGATAACATCTGCAGTTGTTGCCGAAGAGATTCCCGACACACCACTACTCCCGAGGCTTTGCAAGCAGCGCAAGGTGATCAACGCTGGGAAGCTTGACTGCAGGGCTAGTGCGACGCTAACGATCACGTATATTGTAAGACACGAAGCAAAGACTGGTCGACGTCCTTTGAGATCGGATACGCTGGCAGTTAGGAGCGGTGCTACTGCTTGTGCAACCTGCATGTTTCAGTTAATCATCGGGGTTTCAAACCAGGTGGCAGTACATGAGGCATTTACCATAAAGGCAGTGATCGTGAGGCTCATCTGAGTCTTGGAAACATGCAGATCTTTGGATAAAAGGTCGAGAGACGGGTAATAGATGTCGGAGGAGACAGGGCTTAGAAGTGTAACAAGAGAAGCGATGAATATCGAGAAAACCTTCTCCTTCTCGGATAGAACAGTATATGCTTCTTGGCGGTTTGTCTCAGGATTGGTGTTATTGTCTTCCTCGCTGTTGCCAGTTTTTTGGTGCTCTTCGAGAAGTATATCACTAATTGCTGACACAGACTTTGATTGAGCCATCTTTCGCGTATTGGAACAAATGAGGCTCGTAGTAGCAGGCACCAAAATTGCTTAGGAAAGATGGAAGTCATTCCCACAGGATAAAAGCCCCTGGCTCATAATATCTTCCCGCCCCCTCCATTGACTGTATTAGAGGGAAGGGATGCAAGCTAGGCTACACTAGTTTACTCAGGGGGCACGTTCCCTTGTTTGTCTGATATATGTAGTTCCATATGAGGCTACGATTTTCTCAAGTTTCCTTCATTTTTTGGGCCCCTTTTCTCATTTGATGTCCACTACCGTTTTGTCCGCTATAGGGGACCTCAAACAAAGATTTCACAAAAGCAAGTTGGAATTTCACCATGCAACACAAACTTTGAAGTGCTGGCTCCAGGCACTGTACCAAGCAAGCGGGCACTATACGAATTGACTCGCTATACCGTGTAGTTGGCGAGTCGTGCGAGTCCAACCTCATCCCTTGCGAAATATCAAAAGCTAGGTTTTGCACAAGGTAGTTCCTCCGTATAGAATTAAGGAATCTTGGCATGCATGAAGCATGCAGAGATCTACCAATAATCGCAGTTCTCTGCGCAACCATATTCGCGCCACGCACCACTTGTCGTAAGTGTGCGTAAATGATCGCCGAACCTCGTGTATATGACGAGTCTGGTAGCTTGATGTAGATCGAAAAAAGACAAGGTAATTTCATGCGGCTAAGAAAAAGGGTTTAGAGAATGTGGAATGTAATAACTAGTTAGCGTTGCTGAGTTGCGTTATTCACTTCTGTCGGTAGCTTATAACCTCAAACTCTTCTCTGTCTTTGAAGCTGAAGCATAGAGCCTTTACGCAAGCCCACCGAGGTTCGATACAGAAGCAAATATCAAGCTTATTAGCATTGCACAATTTCCTTTCAGATCCGGCAAAATGCAAAGCAGCAAAGCCATTGTCAGTTCTAGGTTCCATATTCCCATTCCGTGTACCAATTTGGCAGAATATATTTTCGACTCGGAACCAAAAAATGATTACTGGAGCCCCGAAGATCCCCTCTTGTTGTCGGCGGATGACCCAAGCTTCCCCGGCTATACGTTCGACCAGATGAAGACCTTAACAAAGGCTCTAGCATGTGGGATGCAGGAGAGCGAAGGCAAACAGGTTGTCCTATATGGCTACTGGAACTACAACTTCTATATCGCGCTACTGGGCTGCTTGGGAGCTGGAGCAGTCTGTTACAACTCTCCGCCTATCCACATGGGCGGGTCGGTATCTAGACTTGAATCTCTGAAGCCGGAGTATCTGTTTGTTGGCCCAGAAAGTTTGGAGGATATCCCCGATATTCTGTCACAGATGGCTCATACCCCACGGTATGTGTACGTGGTAGATACCTCCACACGTACGGGAGGGGACAAGTACAGATATGAGCATTGGAGCTCTCGGCTCGACTTCAACGATGAGTTTTCGTGGCCAAAACTATGTGACCAGCGTCTAAAGGCAGCACCAGCATTGGTCTTGACTACGTCAGGGTACGTACCCTATCTATTTGTTTCTATCGGTGCGTTACAAATGAAGGATCGGGCCTAACTATTCGTAGGACTACTGGCAATCCTAAATTAGCAGAACGATCACATTATGGCCTCATTGGAAACGCGGAGCAGTTGCTCTATCGCTATAACCTGAAAAAAAGAGAGAAAGAGATTTGGCTCTGCAACTTCTTTCAGTATGGTATCGGGTTCCTTTTGTACGGAATTCTCGCCCCTCTCAAGGCCAGGTATGGGACAATTTTCATGAGAGGGTTTTCCGTGGAAAGGTATGCCAAGGCAGTTGAACAGTTGAGGCCCACATCCTTGCATTCACCGAAGCACATCCTGCAAGAGTTACTTGCTCACACGAACGGCGCCGACTTCTCCAGTGTGAGAAGTATGCGAACTGGGGGTGCTTATATTCCATACGCCATGTGTGATGCTTGGGAAAAGCTACATGGGTCTCCCTGTGAGGTTGTCTGTGGCATGACCGAGTATGTACCCCAGGTTCCAAGTTTAATTGTCCTTGTCTACTAACCAATCTAGGGGCGGAATTCATTTTGCATCTGATCCAACTGTGCTGGAAACTGATGAAACAATTGGAGAACTTCTGCCCAACCTTGAAGCAAAAGTGGTTGACAACCAAGGTAGGGTTTTAGCAAAAAATGAGACTGGGGAAATCTATATCAAAAACCCCTTTTTCATGAGGAGATACCGGAACAACCCAGAAGAAACGAAGGAAGTTTTCAGCGATGATGGATGGATCAAAACAGGCGACTTAGGGAAGGTGAATGAAAAGAACAGATGGTATATTTGCGGGCGAAAGAAGGTGACGACGGTCCTACTTGCCTTGCTTGATCGACGCTGCTAATAGTTCAAAGGACCTTTTCAAAGTGAACGGCGGACACATCTCAGCAATATTAATTGAACAGGCTATCTCAGTCCATCCGGAAATCCTGGAAGTTGTGGTTGTCCCCGTCGCGCTGTTAGTATAATCAGTTCAAGTCATTCGGACCTTCTGCAGATTGCTAACAATGAGCAGTCCGAATGAAGGCGAATTCCTGCCACGTGCCTACATTGTCGCGGAGCGTAATTCCTCGCTTACACCAGATCTTTTCTTGGAGTGGATGGAAAGGGAAATACCCTCTGAAATGTATACACGAGCTGGCGTGGAGTTCGTGGACGCTCTCCCCATCTCTGTGGTAAGTATTCCCTATCAGTGCCAGATGATTTATTAATCGGTTTTCCAGGCTGGGAAAGTGGACCGTAACTTCCTCCGACGCAAAGCCAATTCCGGACCGCAAAGGGCTTGGTTGTCCGCAATGTCCAGAAGCTGGGAGAACGCACCTTGCAAGCCTGGCTCGTTGCTGATCAGATAGGTTACTTTCATATCAATATTATCTGAGCTATCCGGTATTAGACCATACATCGCTAGAGAATGCCATGCAAGCAGAGTATTATTTAACAAGCTAAACAGACCAGACACCTGGATAACAGGGGCAGCCAAGGTTCTCCCGAATGATAATGTAACAGGATGTAATTGCCATATATTCTCATATCGTTGAGTTTATACCAACTTACACTGACGCCAAGCTGCGTAGTCGAATAAAGCTTCCGGAACCTTAAAAGATCAGGTTAAAAAGGATGATACTGGGTGGCTGCGTAAGCCAGCAAATGTGATGCATGAGACTCTTCAATAATCTGGTCGATCCTATATTCTGCCTTTCATTTGTTGCCCTTACCGGTCAATTGCCAATAGCTACTCCGTACGCGTGTCGCCAAGCTGCGAAAGAAGCAAGGAGTGGTATAGTGTGATTCTTGCGTTGGTCAGGGTACCAGCAACAAATTTCAGTTAGTTTCTATGAGGCTGTGTGCGCTAGGGATATGAAATCGCAAATCCACATGTTAGATCGCCATCCCTTGCTGTGCGCATACTCCATAATTCGGGGCCAATTATCCACTGGCGATCATTACTGTAAAGATCTAGAGCTACTAGAATGCCATATAAATAGTAGACTTATATGGTCAAGGAAAGGTGTAGCCAAAGTCAATTCGATTCAATATTCAGTGAACGGGACAGCTTTACAACGTTTTAAACACACATTATCCGGACTACACCTGGTTAGACTACACATAGGATGGTTTGTGCTAGGGACAGGGACAGGCCAGCGGATCAAGAACCCCAGATTGCCAACCATCGTAGTTGTGTAATCTTCAAAACTTCGTTCTCTGTGCCCTCAGTATAGGATATCTATGCTGCAAACTCAAATTTACAAGCAAGACTGTTGATCTCAGAAACCCAGACAGATGACTCGAGTTTAGTAGCAGCGGTATGTAAGCCTCGCCAAAGCCCGTGGAATGAACCTGTGGGTTTTGACCCGACCTGCTTTTCTGGCGGATTTTGGATTTTAAGTCTCAACTCGCGAGGTAGGTAGAGATTTAGATCTTAAATATATAGAATTCTGACGGGGATCTATAGATTAATCAATAAATAAACGTAGAAAGTTTTGCAAGTTATATATTTATATAGATTTAAACTATATTTATAGTTATTAAGGTTAGGTATTAACTAGTTCACAAGTGTGACGGCGGGTATTTTAGATAATATCTAACTTGTTAAGACACTGAGAGCTTAAAAGTAACTCTAGTAAGAAAGATAGTATTAAGATTAATATTAATACTGTTCTATATCTAGGTATCTTTTTTTCTTTGGGATGCGGAATATAATAATAATACAGAGCTATGAATTGTCAGTCTCTTTACAATTAATTGTGAGGACGTGCGATCCACTACCTCACGTCTTACCCTCCAGATAGACCAACTCGACAACAGGAAGTTTCTAATCTACTGATGTATCTCCCTGGCCATTCAAGAAGCATATCCGACCGTTTTCAAACACCTTTTCAGCTCAGCCATATATTTTCCATAATTATCTTGTTGGTGATTGGGCAACCAAATTATATAGCAAGTCTATAGAATAAAGCAGTAAATCAACTTTATAGATTTATTACTGTCAAGAGTAGCTTGACTGTTTCCTTTGACTTCTGTGAACCCCATGACAGTGGCGTGAGGCCTGATCTATCTTCTGCTTCAAGCTTGGCATGATTCTCTAACATCAGCTGGACCACTTGATTGCACCCGTTACCTGCAGCCCATGGCAACAGAGTTATACCTAGTTCATCCATACGCCCCGAGATACTACCTGCACCGAACATGATGCTTGTTATTTCTGTAGTGCCATTTCGAGCCGCCCATGATAATGGTGTCTGGCCAGCGTTGACATGACAATCAACCTACGACCCGCTTTGAGTAGCTTCACCACATTCCCTTGGCCATTCTCAGCAGCCCATGAAAGTGGTGTCCGACCGAAATTATCCTTTTGAGTCTAAACTGACGACTCCCTTCAGTATCAAATCTGCGACTGCGCTTTTTCCGTTGCCTGCTGCCCAAGATAAGGGCGTTCTACCAGTTTTGTCTTTGGACTCCAGTTCCGTGTCTAGGTCGATCACAGTAGTAGTATTCGCAGTTTCTCCCAACAGAAGACGAAAAATGGCTGTATTGCCTCGCGAAGCTGTTAGATGGATGGCCGCCTGTCCCAGGCTATCACGAACGCGTTTGTCTGCTTTGTTCTTGATGAGAATTTGGACAACCTGCACATGGCGTCTCCAGGTTGCATAATGCAATGTTGTCCATGAATGCCTATCTTAAAAGTCAAGCCCAACACTTTCCCTTGCCAGCCGACGCACCTCCTCATTGTCCCCACTTGAGGCAGCTACAAGAAGTTGCTGTTGGGTGTCTTGCTGAGCTACTCCTTCCAGTCTGTCCAATCTAGTATCACTTGGCCTCCCTCCCAGTTCACCTATTGTAACATGCATCATTTCCACTGCTCCATTTTCAAAATCGCCTGCTTCCAAGGGGGGGTGAAAGTAAACCGGACCCACATATTGGTAAACATGGACAGTACTCGTGTTCTTCGTCAGCAACGCTCTCCCAATTGAAACAACACCAGGCTCTGCAAGAAGCACATGACAGTCAGGTTTTGTAAGTCCTAACCGAAGCCGCAGTTCAATGAGAGGGTGTATATCCTTCCAGATATATAGCTAGAAATTCGAAGACAGCAACCGCCGCTCGCGAATTACCATCCATGTCCCGGTGACCCTTCCGCTTTGCTCAACCCTCAACATGGCAGCTGGGTTGAGATCACCAGGCGAGGACAGCTCCATATCCACTAGGGCAGTTGGACACCAATTGAAACCTTTTCTCATTGTGGAGGAGATGTGGAAGAGATGTCCGTGCCTCACTTGGCCGGTTTTCATCAACACACGTTGGTAAGTACTTTGCTGCGGCGCATCGCGGATTATACTAATTCCTGTTAAAAGACCTGATATAGTGGCAGTATCTGGGGCCCAAGACGTGTATCGTGGTCCCAATACCGTCAAGAGCCCATTCAATGAGGGAGTTCCACGTTTTCTAAGATTGCGGATAGGCGTTTGCGCCAGGCATGCTTCACTGACTGTTTCCAGTATATCTTCGTCCGGGTCTTTAACCACGGAGTCTTTAAACGTGATTTTGACAGTTTACGACTCTACTAGTTCCAGAGCAGTCCATCCTCGGCTGAACCACGGCGGCATAAGGATACTGAAACATGCCGTCTCTGCATCAATCTACCCACACTCGCAGATATAACAATCATGGACAAAGGTCACACTGGCGTCTTCATAATTATTTTGAATTTGGTTGATTGCCCTGTTGCGTGCTGCCTTATCTCTCGGAATGGATATTGTATCTTATTAGATCCCTTTGCAATGAAATTGCTCCGCGACTCCCCGGAAGAATGCATACAGACACTCATTCACGTCCCCCTCTGGCTCCCCCAGCTCCAATTCCCATTCCATCCGACCATACATGCGAGATTGCCATAAACGGTTCAGGGCGCGGAAGGATTGCGTTGCCATCCAGCTTCCGCACGGTTTTGTTTTCTGCATGAGCGGCTATCTCCAACTGGCCCAGCGGGAAACAGGTCAGCCGGCCACATAAGTTCTCCGGGTCCTTGGCTTTCGTGCACAAGGCCGGCTCATGTCGTTGTTCAACAGCGTTGAAATCTCGGCGTGATAATTCACAAAAAAGGTCTTTTGGAACGAAATCAGTGCAGATGGAGGACCTAAATCTGAGCCTTCTACTAAATAGCACGCTACTTTATTAGAAGGCTGAGACGCAGAACAAAATAGTACTAGACTTCCCAGGGAATGTGGTGGTGCGCGTTCTACTTGCAATCGGATATAACAACGATTTTCAAAATGGAACAGGCCAGAGCTATATACTTGGTCTGATAGACCTGAAAGGCTGAGCCAGGCTGCGAAGTACTATACATTATAGATAGAATACCGGAGATCTGCAATAAGCTATATAGTACTTATTTTTAGTAATGTACATCTTATAGTATTTAAAATTAACAACCAAGTGGATCCTGCGCAGATTTTATACTAAAAGATGAAAAAGTTGCAAAAAAGAGTATTGATTGAAGACACCCGTACAACTAAGAAGTATGATAAATTTACGCGAGCGTGGCTATATTGTATTAATTGATTAAGATAATATTATATTCTCGGACGAATCCACGGTCCAATGGGATCCTAGTAACCTAGTATCTACCTCAACACGGTTGGCTTTACTGGGGTAGAGAGTATATAACAACGGTTCTACAATTAGGGATTGCGATCACCACCTAGTGCGTCGCAACAGACAACAACTGGGGCATATTGATAATCACAACGTCTGGTACTCATCTGGCAAAAAGCCGCCACTCCAGTGTTAGCAAATGGCCATGGTCTCAACCTTGAGGATCTTTTGAGAGATAGAATAACATAAGCAAACCCCTTCAAAAGGCGAAGGAGAGAGGACGCTGGAAAGCTGCATGGGGTACGCTTTCGTATTTGCACTTTTGACAGCTTTGCACGCCCTCTCATTCTCGTATACTACTAGTACACTCACTACACCACCTCCCCTTCCAATATTTCCTTGGTGAACAAGGAATACTACATTATCCCTTTACTCATATTATCGCATATGATATAATATCCTCCAATACTTGCCATATCATGGAATCAGAAGAGCCAGGAGAAAACCCCCTTTGGTTTTTCAAAGACATTTTGCTGCATGGAGAGGACAAAACAGCAGCACTGAATGTTATAAGCAAAGGCATATGCTTCTGCATTAAGTTGTCTCCAAGCAACCTCGATCAGACACCAGAAACCCTTCAGAAATGCCTCGAATTGATGGAAGATGTTTGTAATGATGGCGACCTCGACGTTTCCGAAGAGGCAGAGCAAGATCTACAATATTGGGTTCTGGAGCCCTTCCTTGAGATCTTTGAAAACCTGGAGTCTTCCTCGAATCAACAGCATATATCACTCCAGGAATATCTTTCCCCTGAGACCTATCGATATCAGGTATATGGCCCAGACGGTACTACAGCCTTTCTTGGACTAGACTGTTCCTCGCAACCAAATCTCAGATGGTATTACTGTTGGCCAAAGCAAACTACCATCACAATAGCTTTCGTTCCGACCAAACGATATCAAGATTGAATGCCCAAGTATTGTTGAGTCAATTTCGCAGTTCCCAAGAAAAGGTCTCTGCTGCTGGAACTGTTTATCACTTCAAATCTGCATATTCAGGGAACCTGGCAGCTGCTTTACGAGAAATGGACATCTATAGAAAGCTGGACGAAATTCTGCCTTGTGATGAGATCAGAATTCCGGCTGTACATGGTGTTGTTCGAGATGAAAGCGGTTCACTACTAATTGGGCTTCTTTTCTCTTCGATTGAATGTGGGCCCGAGGACTTGGAATGCATTCTGATGTCAGAGATGTTGTTATCCTCAAGCTTAAGAGATTGGAGAATGCAAATCACCACAACTGTGACAAAACTACACGAGGCTGGTATTGTCTGGGGCGACACCCAGGCCGCGAATATCTTGATTGATAGCAAAGACAATGCTTGCGTGGTCGATTTCGGAGGCGGTTTTACAGAGGGCTGGGTCGAGAAATCTCAGATGGACATAATCGAGGGTGATTTGGCAGCTCTTATCAAAATTGAAGAACCTCTGCAGCCAGAAAAGACCTAAAAGAAGCGAGCCCTTGAAGGTAGCGATGGCACCCAGGCGACCAAGAAACCATTCGAGATTGATAGACACGTACCATTATGACCTGCATCAGTGCCATAATCCCTCATATTTGTATGGAGTCGTCCTTGGACGCACATTCCTGATCTATCATTAAAATGAGGTGGGAGATCGATCGGAGTGTCGTTCTCTTTCCATATCCACTGATAAGAACCGCACTTATGCCATCGTCTGTCACATGGAGAACGCAGTCCTCCAAAGCTCGTTTCTAGAAGCAGAGAGCTTAATTCACTAGATTTAGAATCAGGGTCAGCTATTATTTAGATGCATCGCATAGATAGAAGTAAAACAAGACAAGATGAACTTCAACGTGATCCAGCCCATCTCAATCTGAAGATTGGAGATAGGGAACGGCGTTCTTTGTCGGGGTAGGCCAACTTAGGGGGATCCACGCAGGCGCAGTCATCAAAGCACCGGACTATTTCACTGGCGCACAACTGAGTATTGTTCCAGGGTGATCCTTTGCATCCTTCGCCCTTTCTACGGTATCTGACAGGTCAGAGTCATCAAACCCCACGTTTCATTTAATTTGAATGGGTGATGACCAAGTGTGGACTGGGGAGAAGGAGAAAAAAAAAATGAGCGGCTGCACGACCAGAAAACCAGCGTCCGAAGCCTCTATGGGAAACCGAATACGCCGGATAGGGTAAGGAGCCAGGTCCCGAGTGTAACCTCGTGTAACTCGATGAGAGGTTCCTTGAGACCACGTCAGTATTCATGGCATACTTCAGTGGTATATGAGAGTGAGAATGCTCTCCCTATTGATATCCCGATTCACTTTTCGCCTTCAATTAGCGATTACAAAGGCATGACTCATATTCCCGATGGTCGTGTTGCTGAGCGGCAGAATATAGTGCGCCGGGTTCATCAGAAATGTAACAATCCAACAGGATTACTCAATAGCCCTCGCGCGCAATGAATCCAATTGCAAATTTTCCGAGTGGAGCGGCCGGCTTTCTGCTGATTCCTTTAGTGGGTTCATGTCACAAGAACGATCTACAACTGTCGCGTTATTCGACAGCAGTCGGAGCATAGCGGGCATCGCTGACTAAGGAATATGCATAGGGCTCAGGGCTCAGGTCGGCGGTATCCGAGAAAGGCAAGTCATGGGATGCGATACTGTGAGACAGAAAGGTAATGAATACTTCAATGTACAGTTAGCTGGGTCAAGAGGTAGTAGATAGGAAAGACACGGGGACGGAGGTTATTTAGTAAAACAATTGAATGATAAGACAAATACCAGCAGCAAATGAATACTACCTAGGTACAGAAGAGAAAAAAAAAAAACATTGACCCGTGCACGCACGTTGTCACAAAACCTCCGAACTTAATCTGACAAGCACAGCCAACCCGATCCACGACTCCAGATAATCATGTAGTAATTATAACGCGAGGCGAATAAAATGCCTCATGCATCGTGCTGCACTCCAACTCGAAGCACCTGCCTATTTAGCTTAGCAACCTTAGCGTAGCTTAGTTGGACCACGAGCCAATCCACGTCCCTGCTAGACCTTCGGTTTGTCCACAGCGTATCCCGGCGACGTTATTTTCGCTTACCACGGGTGCCCGCCATAATATGGAGTACTATAGTACTGCGACTACTACTTGGTACTTTAGTTTACGGCGGCTACTAATCAGACCCTGAAACTCCGACAGGAATTAATCACTCATACTGGAGCATAGCTTATTCGCATCCTGCGCCACGAAGACCGTCCGGATTGGCTCGAGCTTAAGCTTCGGGGAGGAGAAGGGCAAGAAAGAGGTAAAGTTGCCAAGATGTTGCCGATGCTGCTCAGCCACCTCCATTCATTATTCTGTTGGGTGTTCTGTGGTGGTGGTCCTTGCAAGCGAGATGATCTCTTGGAAGTTTGCATCTGATCATCTGGGCGGGTTTCGTTCCCCTACGTCAGAGGGGGGAATGGGTTTGGGGGGAGGGAGGGTGACTGATGGTTTGTGACCGTCTATGGACTTTGATGACATTTTTGAAGACATTGTTCTATCTAGATCGGAAATTTTCTACCTCTTCAATATTTTATAGCGCCAGTTATATATAAAGTTGAATCAGAACGCGGGAAATAAAACGAAAAAAAAGAGAAACAAAAAAAAAAAAAGAAACAAAAAAAAGTCATAGCTTTGGAGCTCCAGCACCAGCCACAACCTGCCCCGAGCGTCACCCTTCCCAATTTCTTGACACTTACCGGATAATATCTCAAGACCACGACCCAATATTTAGCAAACCCGTACCTTAGTTCGGAAACCAGGCAGCAGGATTGCCCATCCCAAGGGGGGAACCCGGCCGGATTGAATGAATGGGACACAAAAACCACCAATGTATGAGGGAATTTGCTGCACCATTCCATTTCACCGTTTTGCCGCGCTCACTAACACAGATGAGGAATGTATGTACCTGGTAATCACAGCAGAAAATTGGCAAAAAAAAAATTTCATTGCCGCACAGTAAATTAAAACCACAGTTACAGCCAGCTGAGAGGGGAAAATCCCGCATAGTGAATGACTTGGTTTGTGCATCTCTTACCGATTCCATCCATGCAGCGATCTCAACTTTGTTGCGTTAGTTGACCTTACTTCCCAATATGGACGGCGTTCCTTAGTAACTCCCGTACCAGTAGTTAACTAATCGATGTCATAGTAGTATACTAAGGTAGTCTACACTTGTGGCTCTGGCCTGTTTTTTTTTTTTTTTTCTTTCTTGTGATGCAGCTTTCCTTTTTTGAGTTTTCTTGTTGCTTTTTAATTTATTTTTTTTTTCCCTTACCTACTTTTTGTCAATTCCGCTTTGAGACCCTCTGCTCACGTATAAATTTGACCGTCACCCGTCCACCATGCTCGTCGATCCGCTCATACTCTTCAAGGGATGCTCATCGACGGTGAAAAGTGGGCTTGTGAAGCTTGCGTCCGCGGACACCGTGTGACGACTTGTAAACATCATGGTGTGTGTCTCTGGTCTACCTCCTGCCTCTCCCATCTGGGATAAAATGATCTAACTATCTACCCAAAAACACCTAGATCGACCGCTAATCCGTATCAACCGGAAAGGTCGACCCTTCTCCACCTGCTCCGTATGCCACAACACCCCCTGCCCAACACCAGAAGAGCATACCAAGCTCAAACGCGAGGCCGAGGCCAAATCCTCTTCAAAAGTACAATGTGACCAAGCACCACCACCACCACCTGAGACCCCTCTAAACCTATGACCAAAACAAGAAAAAGAAACTCTGAATGAAAAAAAAAATATTGAATGAATGAAAGAAAATCACATATAAGCCACACACACACACCCACACCCACACCACACTGGGAAAACATTTTGTTATAAAACACCGCAGGCTGATGTTGGGTTGTTTCATTGAGTTTCGCTTGTTCCAGAGAGGTGCCGCTAGAGTCTCTTCGCGTTCGAATTCTGTCTTAGTTCCCATTGCGCCGAGACCGTCGTCGAGTTCGCCGAGCCCCCAGAGTCGTCCCCAGATCATGGCCGGTTCGAGTCCGGTCGTCTCCGCGCCCCAGCAGCAGCAACTGCAGCTGCAGCAGCCGTTTCAGCCGGAACTGCACCAGTCGTTTACGCGCTCGAGCATGGCGCTGCCGTTTACCGATGGCGAGTTTGTGGCGCCGGCGCTGTGCTCGATGGGCGATATGCCTGTGTCGTTGTCGATGGTTAGTCCGTTGGATGCGGATCCGACGGGGCGGTTATTGTTTGGGGAGGCGGGGTTCGGGGATGGGGGGTTCTCGTTAGAGGATTTGGATGTTGGGGCGTTGGAAAGGGAGGTTCTTCAGGAGGATTGGTCGTGGTTGTCTGAGAATGCGCTCTAACATTGGTGGTGGGTGGGATAGGTAGGGATGGGCTTCAAAAGATTTCTCACGATGATGATGATGACGATGATGAGTGATGATCTTGTGTTTTTATCATTGGGTGGGTTCTTCTCTTTCTTTCTTGGATTTAGCTTGTATGCTTAAGGGGGGGGGGTTACATTCTTTCATGCATATATGTTCGTGTCAGTACCATAGATTATGGTCAAGTACATATGTCTGCGATATCAAGACAAATTCTATGCTCATCGAGAAAAATAGAACTGCCAACTTCTATACTGCCGAGGCGAATGCTTGCTACATGATATGCCAGGAGGTGCAGTGGCTAAGAACAAGAAGGATACTAACAATAGCCAGACCGCTTACCCAATAATAATAAACCTCAGCTCCAGGCTCCCCAATGCAAATGACAGAGAAAATATAGCTTCCGTGCGTGTATATACATCTGGACAACACGGAATCTTGCGACTGATCGACCCTGATAGATCAGACTACACCTCATGGATGTAGTTGGCGGGCACGCTCTTGGTCAATCCCCCTCTTTCCACGTCGGCCCATCCGTCACCGCCGTCTCGGTTAACCAGCACAAAGCGGTCGCCTTCCGCCATGCTCCATTCCATGTCGCTGCGAGCCTCGTAGTCGTACAACGCCTCGACGTACTGCAGCTTCTTGGCGCCCCGGCGAGGGGCCACGGCCGGCCCAACCTTCTTGCCCACAGCACCACCGACCATTGAGGCAGAGGAGGTGGAATAAGTGGATCCCGGGCGGTCAGCCATCCCAGGGCTGGTCGCAGGGGCTACGGACGCCGCGGGTGCCGGTTCCACGTAGGAGGCTGGGACGAGACCCTCAGTCGAGCCAACGCGGACGCGCATCCAGCCCGATCCGTCTAATTAAGGATGGAAAGTCAGTAAGGCTGCAACGTTTCTATTGAACATGTGGGAAAACTCACCATCCGGTTCAACAATAGTTACATCATCCCCATCTTGAACGGTTATCTCGTCGGCTCCTCCGGCTTGAAATGGATAGATCATCTTCCCGCGTGGTTCGCTTGGCTTCGTCGATTCAGCTACTGGCGGAGCCTTAACGTATTGTGCAGGTGGTGGAGCTAAGACCCTATTTCTCTTAGGCTTGGTCTCCTGAACAGGAGCCGGAGTTGCCGCCGCTTCTGGCACCGGGGATGGAACGGCCGATTCGGTCGGACTAGCTAGCGCTGGCTGGCTGGCGGCGTTGGACAACGATCGGTTGGCACTAACTGCGTACCCAGAACTCAACGAGTTCATCGTATCCTTCCGAGTTAGGGACGGCGCGGCAGATGAACCAGTAGTTGTCGGCTCAAGGTCGAGCTGTGGCGCAGCACTGGCCTGTTCTTGTCGTTCCGCTTTGAGCTTCTTCTTCTCTTCCTTACTCTGTTCGCCAGGACATTCGGCAGGGACTTTCATTTGGCATTTGCTGTGACACGTATATCCACAATCCCGGCAATCGAACCCCTTCGCCGAGAGTCCCCATATCCGCTCTCCGCAGAGGTCACAATTGGTCGGGATTTTGAACGTTTGTGACTTGAAGTTGTGATTCTTGGCACCCAACGATAAGTCGCCTACTACCGACATAATAGTAGATGTTTCGACTTCGGCAGTGAGCTTCTTACGCTCCACTTCATGCAAAGCGCCCTGCAGGTAGAAGATAGATCGGACTATATCGACCTCGCTACGATTGTCTTTGCCTTGTTGGATGTTTTCGCGGATCCGCTTGGATGTTTCGACGTCCCTGCGTTTCTGGTCGGCCTCAACCCTCAGTTCCCGAACTTGCGTTTTACTCTTGCTGAGCAGGTTGCGCAAGAAGACCTTCGCAGTCTCGTCGGTGACAAGCGCTTCGTCATCGTGCCAAATAGGGCTCGGCTCAAAGGTCATATTGGGTGGTTCCTGTGACTGGCTGACATTGTGGCGCAAGAACATGAGTGAATCGAGGTGTGGGACATTCCGTGGGATTTCGTTCAGTAGATGGGACATATGTTCCATACTCTTAGACAGAGAAGACTTTTCCAGCTGCGCTGCAAGCGACCATAGTGAATTCAACTTGGATACGCGCATTTCGTTGAGGTTTTGCAAGCTCTGGAAACAGAATTAGCTATATGGATTTCGACCCCCAGTACCCTTTCTCACATCTAGTAGCTCTGGGACGTATTCATGGTAGAACCGTTCCTTCAACTTGTTCGTCACGTTTATGCTGATGAGGTACGTATTCTGCCTCGGTTAGTAACGGTCTTCAGGCAGAAAGATGCTACCAACTTTGACGTTGTTCATTTCCAAGATCTGCTGCTGATATGCAGCCTGGGCCTTGGGTTTACTGTGATCAAACGAATTCTCCATTTTCTTGCGCCTCCCCTCCACTTCTTGGCACACCCCATCGTATTTGCCCTTTGCTTTCTTGAGATCGCCGTAGGCAGCGTCTCTTTCCTTTTCCAGCTTGGCATGAAATTCGGCGTGAGACTTTCGGATTTCCTCATATTGTGTCGCAGCTTGCTTCAGAGGTTCCGCAACCTGGAAAACGAGGTCTGTAGCGAACTGATCACGTTCACCCGCGTGCGATTCAACGGCGGTCAGGTGCGTAGTCCAAGTGGTAAGTGAAGCGCTTTCGAGGGAGCCTGGAGTCATGGTTGGAGTATCTCCGACGCTCAATGCGCTTATTTTCTTGGCCTTGCGATCGTGGTATTTTCTGCAAAGGGCCGTCAGCTTGGCGGCGTACTCCTTTTCGATGGCGCTCCGTTCCCGGTAGAACTGTTGTATCTCGTCGAGCCATTGCACCCCGTGGGAGACCTAGTCAGAAGAGGTATTAGTAACTGTCTGCTAGAGTCAATGCCACACGGGTGTTCAGTGAAGCATGGAGGTAGTTGGGGGAAGTGACAAAAGGAAACATACCCAATTGTTGACTGGTTTGAACGCATCCTGTTGTATACTCGCATTAGATTTACCGTTCTCATCGTATCTGAACTGTGAGTACCTTTAGCTCCGCTCCAAATTGAGGAGCCACATCGGGTGTTGCCATTGTAGATGTGACAGCCCCTCAGATCGCGCGCATGAGACTTTCTGTCAAGGACAAAACTTTAAGACGCAAATCTGTTAGATTTAGGCAGCTATGAGTGGAACTGACTTTTTCACGTACCTCCACGCGTTGTCTGTTTTTGTGCGACGGGAATGCTTCGTCGTGACTTCACTCTGGATAAGAAAGGAGTGGCCAACCGCTAAGCGCATCTGTACCTGACAATCTATCTACCTGAAGGGGCGGCCATGCGGAAGCGGGGAAGATGGCTGGAGTAACACCGGTGACAATACCGAACGACTTTCTCAGGCCACGTTGGCGGCTCTCGGACACCCACCAGGGCCAAGAAAGGCGTAATATTACGTCATGCTTGTTTGTACTGAACCACACCATCCACCGCCTTCCGTATAACGTTAGATGATATCTGCTCGATCATTCGCCTAACCAGGAATAGTGTGTTTGCAGTATGCTGGGCGGTAGGTGTTGGGTTTTTTGGCTGTCGTCACGTCCCTCTGAGAAATATACCTACCAGGCGCATATATAGCTGCTGTGGTCCTCTTACCTTCTGCGTCTGAGGAAGACTGTCTCAATACCTAGTCTTTCCAAACCCCTTGCTACGGAGAGGTTCACTTTCTCTTCCACATACGTTTCCCGATCGATCTTTTCTGTTCCAGCGAGCTCGCTTTACCCCGCGGCCGTCTCTTCACCGTCTGATCGCCTCTACCTCCCCCTGCCAGCCCTCGTCCAATTACCTGGGTTTCTCTATTCCGCAAATCTCCTTCATAATGTCTGCAGAACAACCCGCTGAAACTGCCTCCGCTGGTAATCCTCTGGCTGATCGCATCACCACGGCCGATGGATCGAAACCTGAAGGTATGGGCCATTCCGTGTTGTCAATAGCTGTCGCTATACGTGATACATACGACACTTGCTAACGTCACCGTCGTGCAGGAACTACTGAAACGACCGACAATGAGCAGGCCGATGGCGCTGCCACACAGTTGGGCGGCTCCGAACTTAACGAGCCTGAATATACGGTCGAAGTCAAACTGAGCGATCTTCAGGCGGATCCTAACAACCCTCTTTTTTCCGTGAAGAGCTTTGAGGACCTTGGACTGTACGTTAAACCTCGTGCTTTGGATTTGCCATCCTATCCCCGCTAAAGACGTGTCGATGAACAGGGACAATCGCATCTTGCAAGGACTGTCCGCCATGAACTTCCGCAAACCTTCAAAGATTCAAGAAAGAGCGCTCCCATTGCTCTTGAACAACCCTCCTAAGAACCTGGTCGGCCAGTCCCAGTCGGGTACCGGAAAGACAGCTGCGTTTGTCCTCAATGTCCTTAGCCGTTTAGACCTGTCAACAGAACAGGCGCAAAAGACGCCCCAGGCTCTGATCTTGGCTCCAACTCGAGAGCTGGCCCGTCAGATTGTTGGCGTCGTCCAGGTTATGGGCCAGTTCCTGGACGGTCTTTCCATCTCAACAGCCGTTCCTGCAGACACTAACAGTCGCCATTCGAAAATTGAGTCCTCCGTTGTCGTTGGTACTCCAGGAACAGTCATGGATATGATCAAGAAGCGTATCATGGTTGCGAATAAACTCAAGGTTCTCGTTTTGGATGAGGCAGATAACATGCTCGACCAACAAGGTTTGGGCGACCAGTGTATTCGTGTCAAGGCGTGAGTTCCTATGTCTTTCTTTTCTTTTGTTAGGGCAGTTTCAGCTAACCGTATGCAGATTGCTGCCAAAGGATATCCAAGTCGTTCTTTTCTCCGCCACCTTCCCCACCCACGTTCACCAATATGCGTCCAAATTCGCCCCGCAGGCCAACGAAATTACACTGCAGCACGAAGAGCTGACCGTCGAGGGTATCAAGCAGCTTTATCTTGACTGTTCCGACGAGGAGGATAAGTATAAGACTCTTGTTCAACTCTACGGTCTTCTTACCGTCGCTTCCTCTATCATTTTTGTTAAGGTTGGTGGCCCGTGTTAGTCATTAGGTTGCATCTAACAGTTGATAGACACGAGCATCCGCCGTCGAGATTGAGAAGCGCATGGTCGCTGAAGGTCATACTGTTGCGTCTTTGACCGGTGGTATTGAAGGCTCTCAGCGTGACGCTGTCATTGACCAATTCCGTGCTGGCCAGGCTAAGGTGTTGATTACGACCAACGTGCTTGCCAGAGGTATTGATGTCTCTACGGTGTCCATGGTCATTAACTATGTGAGTCGAAATGATGACGCGTTGCCGCCATTCAGAGAAATAAGTACTAATCTAGTGGTCAGGATATTCCCGAGATTCACCAACCTGGCGCACGGGAACGCCAGGCGGACTTCCAGACCTACCTGCACCGTATCGGACGAACCGGACGGTTCGGTCGTGTCGGCGTCTCGATCTCCTTCGTTTCCAACCGGGAGGAGTGGAATATGCTCAACCAGATCCAACAGTACTTTAACTGCACTATCCAGCGGGTCGATACGAAGGACTGGGACGAAGTGGAGGATATCATCAAGAAGACTATCAAGAACACCCGTGCGCAGGCCCAGTTCGGGCGGTAAAGGGTGAGGGCGGAGCACGGCTACCTGTATTGCTTTAATTGATGGCTTATGTGAAGATTTACGAGGTTTTCTTATGTGGAGGAAAAGTCCCAAAGAACAATAGATACCAACGACATGACCATATTTTGAGAATCTCAATGAACCTGTAGATATCCCATTGCTATCTGTTTGTCGGTGATTAGAATTTTCGTGATCTCGCAGTGCGTTAAAGTCACGTGCAATAGAGCTCTTGATCACTTGACTACGTGTAGCGCTAGCTCAGCTCATGCAGGAGATCGTGAAAAGCATATTAATAGCTCTAAGCTTATACGGAGGTCTTCCTCTAAGACTCTAGATTTTGGCAAAGAATGTAGGGCTATTAAGTGAGTTGGTATGGTTGGTGGTTATAGGAGGTGGAGAGAGACATATATATATATGAACATTACCGTGCCGAAGTATCCAGTATCCGCAAATCTAGTTAACAACTAACTACTAGTAGTAGTAGAGGGAGGGACCGAATATAGATTAAGTAATGAACAGCTATCAGGTGACTTTCCCCGAGGAGGACCGATCAGGTAGCAGCTTTGGTTGGGTTTTGATGTCGAGTAACGTGGTTCCAGTGTAACAGTCGACAGGTCATTCCAGATTCTTGGAATGAGGGGGTTTGATTTGCCGCGACCCCGCGTTGCATTCAGTCCAACATCATCTTGCATCCAGAAGACAGGGAGACCAAGACCCCTCGGGAATGTGTGCACGAGGTGAATTAAATTCGGACCAGGAGTGTACGGGGACAGAATTAATATGGGATATCTATGTACCACTCGAGCTTATCATTTCTGGTGGAGTTGGCTGTATTTATCGGGATGATAAACAAGGAGATAAGTCGGTCACTATCGATAGAGGGGAAGAACAATGATAACGATCCGATAAGGTGCGGAGAGACCAGAATGAAAGAAGGTTCAAGTCAATGATTACCGTACCAATTCACAGGTCACATGCAGTAAGGGAAGGAATGCAGCTGCAAAATGAGACCATCTTCCTCTGCTTTCCTCTTTCCTGCTTTTCCTTTCCATACGTATATATCCCTTGGTTTCCCTTTCCCTTCCTCTTTTCTTCTTCACTTCCCTCCCCCGTCTCCATCCCTATCCTAACCACCACCAGCAAATATGACCACAGATGGCCCCGAAAAGACCAGGGCTGACGGGACAGCCGTCCAGGCCGCTCCTTCACCAGAATCCCATTATAGTACACATATCGTCGTAAGTTGGAACCCACCGTACTCCACCGCAAAGTATCCCCTCACACTGATCTATAACCTAGTTGACCACCTATCCCGGGCAAAGTGGCATAGACCCTGTGCCCCTGAATTGGGGTGCAGCAAACGCCAAATCCCGTGGTCCAGTCGTGGTCTCACGCAGCGGGCCATTGCTCAAGCGACGCAATGCCATGGGCGCCCATGGCGGTAGCTACAGCATTTACAACGCCCTGGCCATCGCCGCCGGCGACCTCCCCCCTGACTTCCGTCCAGACTTTAAGAACAGCGAACCTACCTTCAACTTCCCCTGGCAACCTGCCTGGGCCGACAAAGACAAGATCGTGTCAATGGACCCCTACGGTCACGACATCGTCAACCAATTCCGGGATGAGTTGAATGCCGGTTGGGACATCCGGCCTACCATGGCTGTGACCCGTGCTAATATGAAACTGGCGGAGATCGGCGAGGCAGTGCGAGACGGACAGCTCGAGGTGGATGGTTCAATCGTGGTAGACTCCTCGGGTGAAGTCCGGGTGACGAAGGTCGCCGTCGAGCCGGTGTGGTACCTCCCTGGAGTTGCGGACCGATTCGGCGTCTCAGAGCCTATCCTGCGTCGGACGCTCTTCGAACACACGGGTGGCAGTTACCCGGAGCTGATTACTCGACCGGATCTCAAGATCTTCTTGCCGCCTATTGGTGGTCTGACGGTGTATATATTTGGACCACCCGAGCGTGTGTCGGATGAGAACGTGAAGCTGGCCTTGCGTATCCACGATGAGTGTAATGGAAGCGATGTCTTCCAGTCTGATATCTGTACATGCCGACCTTATCTGGCGTTCGGTATCCGGGAGGCGATCCGCGAAGCCCAGAATGGAGGCAGTGGTGTTGTTATCTACTTCCGAAAAGAAGGTCGTGCCTTGGGTGAGGTCATCAAGTACCTGGTGTACAACGCCCGCAAGCGTGGCGGTGACACGGCAGATAAATACTTTACGCGCACAGAGAACATCGCCGGTGTGAGAGATGTATGTGACTACATCAACCTTATCCTGCCGACCATCACCATACTGACAGTCTATTTAGATGCGCTTCCAAGCCCTCATGCCCGACATCCTCCACTGGCTCGGCATCAAGAAGATCGACCGCATGCTCTCCATGTCTAACATGAAACACGATGCGATCGTCCAATCAGGCATCCAGATCCTCGAACGAGTCCCCATTCCCGAAGATATGATCCCCGATGACTCGCGCGTTGAGATCGATGCGAAGATTAATGCCGGATACTTCACGACGGGACGGCAGTATACTATGGACGAGCTGGCCGAGGTGAAGGGACGCGGCTGGGAGAAATGGGAGGATATCACAGTACGCTCGCCGCTTGTCTTCTTATTGAATAACCGTCCACTGACATCTTCATAGCATTAAACTGGGCTCACAACGACATGAACCGGATCAAGCTACGAACTGGACGATAACTTATGACGACCTGACTTTCGATCGAGTCCACTGATGGAATTTTCATTGCGCCATCGTATCCATAGTTAATTGAACTCTATTAACAAAACTTTTCACCGTGATCTCTTCTGTAAAAGTTGTACAAAATCCCCACGCCAGTAAGTGTACGTGTGATATACATAGGTGCATGGTATAAGTAGATATAAACGTAGATAACCACACCGATTTCCAAAGTAAGAAACGATAGAACATGAATCAATAACCGGCAACACTCCCGACCAATCTCCTCCACCCCAAATGACTAAATCTCCCTTTGAACGTCATAGAACCACATCTCAAACACAGCGTGAAGGACACACCACCCAGTAGAAATCACGAATTGGAGATCTCGGTCCAAACCTCCGTTGATAGCGGACGATAAGCGGGCAAAATCTCGGTATTGCATCCCGAGCACGGAAACTTTTCCTGCAATTCCCCGCTTTGCGATGACTATATAAGATCTCAAGATCCTGGGATGACCATTTAATCAATTATTGAAATATCACATTCTACACTACTACGTTTACTATCTTTACTTTCTACATTTATTATAAATTTATAGAACATAATTTTTTTTCACTTCCTGAGAACAGAAAGGAAGAGAAGCAAGAACACAACAAAGATGGGCTCCCACGTCACCCCACAACCCCACGTCCCCAAAGCCGGGGTATGGTGTCCCGCCATCACATTCTTCGACCACAGCACCGACACAATCGACCTCGTCGCACAAAAGAAATACTACTCCTACCTATCCAAGACCGGACTAGCAGGTCTAGTCATCCTCGGCACAAACTCCGAGGCCTTCCTCCTCACCCGCGAAGAGCGCGCCCAATGCATCGCTGCCGCTCGCGAAGCCGTCGGCCCCGATTTCCCGCTCATGGCGGGCGTGGGTGCCCACTCCACAAAGCAGGTGCTTGAGTTAGCGCATGATGCTGCGGCTGCGGGCGCGAATTACTTGCTTGTGCTCCCGCCGGCCTATTTCGGGAAGGCGACGACGATGGGAGTTGTGAAGAAGTTCTTTGCCGATGTGGCGCGTCAGTCGCCCTTGCCGGTTGTTGTGTATAACTTCCCTGGGGTGTGTAATGGGGTGGATCTTGATTCGGAAACTATCACGCTATTGTGCGCGAGTCTGCTGCTAGCCGGGGAGATGGGAAGAGTAATGTGGTGGGTGTGAAGTTGACTTGTGCTTCGGTGGGTAAGATTACGAGGTTGGCGGCCACATTCAAGCCAGAGGAGTTTGCTGTCTATGGTGGTCAGAGTGATTTCTTGATTGGAGGACTGAGTGTTGGATCTGCTGGCTGCATTGCGGCGTTTGCGAATGTGTTCCCCAAAACTGCGTCGAAGATTTACGAGTTGTATAAGGCCGGGAAGGTGGCGGAGGCTATCGACTTGCAGCAGAAGGCGGCGCTAGCCGAGAGTCCTTGCAAGAGCGGCATTGCGTCGACAAAGTATGCTGCCGCGATTTACTCGGCGCCCTTGGCCGGAATTGAGGGGGCCGAGGAGAAGGCGAAGCGAGGACGCCGTATGAGGAACCCGGAGAGGGTGCTAAGAAGACGGTGAGGGAGCTGATGGACTCGGTGGCTAAGCTTGAAGTTACCATCTAGTAGTCCTGTGGATATGCGCGAATTCAGGTGAACTCAAATAGAAAGCTCGGGTTATCTCCACGAGGCCCCCCCCAAATGTGTATAGCGTGTTATTCTTGGTAGTTGTATTGCGATAGACCCAGTGTATTTCGTTCATCCAATGATTAGAAACCGGAGAGTCATGGTTTCGTGCGAGTGGAATGTTTCCCATGCTTTCAAAATGTCTTGTCTCCACGTTGGGGAGATTTCGCCGAACCGTCTCCGAGTGAACCCCATGGTTGTAGTTAGATGGTAAGTCGCAAATATTTCTGGGTAACCTGGGCATCTGGCTTTAATCGCATATAGCTAGTCGGATGAATGAACTGGTGCCTGGCGAGGGTGAGCCATAATTCGATAGAGGTTTATATAACAAGAAGTTGGCACTGGATACAACAGTTTGACGCCCTTGATCGTGTTGAAACTAGTACTACATTCACCCACAACTGTAGGTTTCCAGAATAGGCAATTCATGGGCGACTGCTGCACTTACTCCACTGAAGAAGAGCTGCTGTGGACTTCGTTGTTTGTGGGGGTGTGAACTGTGAAGAGAAAATCCCCCGATAAATCACCGGCGGTAAGGCCGTTGCTTCGGCTCCCCGCTTCCAGCATAACGCTTCTCCGGCTGGGGTAGCAGTGCCGGAGCGATCACTGTAAACACAGGGTAGATATCAGAGCTTCGCAGATGCCATACGTGAACAACAGTGTTGAATGGGACTATGGGGTTTATATACGTCGCGAACGAGCAGATATCGGTCCAGGAACCAGACCAGTCACTACCAAAACATATGATGTACATGAAGGCAATATCCCCACACTAGTTCTTAAGTCAACACCTTGGCGCGATTAGGGCAGTGGAAATTAATTTTCTCGTATGCATGGCGTGGGTATGCCGTCCTGCTAACCAGCAATCGCAGTGGTCAGACCGTCTGGCATCCACACTGGGTTGCACTGAGTCCTCGGCTTCATCCACTTGGAGCCTTGGGATGCAAAGGCCATGGAACCTAGCATTTCCCTGGAAGAGCATGCCATGCATTCGTCGTCGCCGCCAACGGGAATTTGGACCAGGGGAGCCGATTATAAATACCCCAGTCACGCCCCCCCCCGACAGAACGAATCCCAGAATTGCAACCCAGGTCACTACTCATAGCTACTGCAAGAGACCTGACGAGATGCATATCAAGCCATTCATCCTTCCTGCCATTGCGGCAGTTGCACAGGCTGCCAGCTACTCTGGAGACCTTCGGCCTCAAACACACTTCTCTCCACCTTCCGGCTTCATGAACGACCCCAACGGTCTCTTCTATGATGACAAGAGGGGCGTGTATCACTTATACTATCAGTGTGAGTCTGTTCCTGTCACTCAAACCAGACACGCGTAATAATGAGTGAATAGATAATCCTACAGAGACAGTTGCTGGGAATCAGCACTGGGGTCATGCCACCAGCCCTGATCTATACCACTGGACAAACCAGCCTATCGCCCTCGCTGGGGACAAGCCTGAAGAATATATCTTTTCAGGCTCTGCTGTGGTGGACAGCAACAACACTTCGGGATTTTTTCCCGATCAGGACGATGGTGTCGTCGCCATCTACACAGTAGACACCCCAACGCTGGAAACACAGCACATTGCTTATTCCCGCGACGGTGGATACACTTTCACCAAGTATGAGAACAACCCGGTCATCGACATTGGCTCGAAGCAGTTCCGTGACCCGCAAGTAGTGTGGCATCCCGAGACTCAGCAGTGGGTGATGGCTATTGCCTATGCGCAGGACTTGGTCATTGGATTTTATACATCGCCCAATCTTAAAGACTGGACGCATGCGTCGAACTTCACCCAGGCAGGGCTGCCGGGAGACCAATTTGAATGTCCCAACTTGGTCAAGTTTTTAGTGGATCCCGCTGTGTCTAAAGAGACCAGCAAGTACGTGCTTTTCATTTCTGTGAATCCTGGTGCTCCTCTCGGGGGTTCGGGCACGTTTTATGTTGTCGGCGATTTCAATGGCACCCATTTTACGTCCGAAGTTGCCCAGGAGACACTTTTTGATTTCTCCAAGGACAACTATGCTGCGCAGTGGTATTCTGGTATTCCTGAGAATGAGCCTCCTATCTCCATCGGGTGGGCTAGCAACTGGGATTACACCGAAGAGGTCCCCACTGGCCCGCTTGAAGGCTGGAGGAGCGCCATGACTTTACCTAGAGCGCACACCTTAACCAAGGTCAATGGTGTCTGGACTGTGACTCACCGCCTGTTTGAGGGCCTCTCTGCTATTAAGGGCAGACAGCTCGTGAGCAAGAGCCTCCAGTCTGGGGATGTGACAGCGAACTTCTCTGGGGTCCCGTCGAAGGCGGTATATTTCGACGTGACACTGAAGGGCATCGATGTTGCCAAGCCTACCGGGCGCGTGAGGTTTAACTTCACCTCATCTACATCGGGGGAGTTCCTCGACGGAGGTTTGTTCCTGGATGACGGTTCTTTCTGGATCAACAGAGCTGGAACCCATCTTTTCACGATCGAAGATAATGGAAACTACACATCCTCTTCCACAACCACTATCTCGTCATTTGGTAACGGCACGTTCAGCTTCTCGGGCGTTATCGACCGCTCTGTGTTTGAAGTCTTCCTTGGTCAGGACGGGATCCAGAGCGGAACCATGACTTTCTTCCCAAGTTCCCCACTCGATACCTTGGGCGTTTCCGCAGAGGGTCTCAGTGGTCGGACTAGTGTTAGTGTCAAGGCTTGGGGTCTTCAGAGCGGCTGGAACTCAACGACAGCCAGCAAGAGGTTCCGCGCCTGAGTCAATTGGCTGCTAGAGTGGCTCAGTTTATGATGCATGATTGTAAAGTTATCGCATGGATGCATAATTGAAGATTTAATGTTAGAATTGATTTCTTCTCGAAGTCTCCAGTTTGTACCCCGTACACCGTAAGGTCAAAAACACTCCGTACTTTGGTGGATGCTCAATTGAGGGGCACTCTGCATTAGTTGGATTGCTGTCTGCGGTCCAGAGCATTGGAGCATCCCAAAATAAACGGCATGATGTAATATCACGTGTCACATAAGGGCCTCATCGGCCGTTTTAGGCGGAAGGTAATATTACATAGTTGAACAATACAACCACTGAGGAGACTACGATACAGGTCCCCAAGCTCGGTAATACGATGACAGCCTGTCGGTTTGCCGGAACAGCAGTGTCCCGCGATCATACGACGCTTAGTACCGAGTCTTGGCCGAGGGTCAGTCGCCATTGCTGTCAGGCACCACTTTGTCCTTCTTCCAACGATGCGCAGAACAGTGAACAGGTGACTCTGCTCTGCTACGTGTTTACCAATAATAAATCTATTATCACTATATCCTTGTCTCTGCAGTGGCGAATACACAGAGAAAGAAACAAGAAAAAACCCCCCCCCCTTGAAGAAGAAAGGAAGAAGATCTTATCTGCTGGGGCAGTCTGTTCCAACTGTGGCTCGTACCGTTCCATGTGAGAGGGTCTAAGCCGCGTACTCAACCACCCAACGCCGCCTCGATAAGATCTTTGAAAACACTAATTTTCGGCTCGTTTTCTTTTTTGTTTGTCAGACCCCAACGTGACTGACTAGTTAGTTCGGTCTGTCTGTCATGAAGAACAACTCCAACTTTTCAAGTTGATCACTCCTTTCACAACTTGACCCTCACATCAATTGCCACCCACTATAGTATCTCTCTCCTTTTCTTTCTTTTTAAGGGATCTCTCTCTATTATCGCCCCCCAATCGTTCTCCACAGCTCAAAATTTAGCGCGTTGGGTTCTGGCTGATCATCAATCACCTTTCAACTCTAACCCGCCACTAGCCGGGCTTGTTCCCTTTGCCTGAGGTATGCACACCCTAGGTTACACTACCTGGTACTTTTGTCCAGAGGAACCATCCACCCTTCTGCTCCCACCTTCGTTGTCAATACCCGATGGTTAATAGGAGCAAAGGCTTGTTTCGCGATACTTACACGAAGCGGTTCACATATACGCCCCTAAACCGACTCATAGCCATAGTGGCTTGATGGTCCAGACCCTGGCGGCTGGACACAATGGCTATGCCTAGCATGGGTAGCGATTTCCAGCTCTTCTCCCCCGCCCAATCTTCAGATAGAAGAGAGTCCCAGACGGACTCCATGGCGTTTCCCCAATCTTCTCCGGAGGATTCGGGCCAGGATTGGACACAATGGATGAGATGGGATGACCACTCCTTCCCAGAGACCACCAACGAAATTTCCCAATCGCCCTTTGATTTTTCATTTACCTCACCCGGCGCCTCGATCGGCAAGCAGAGCCTCGGTGCTGTTCAAAAGTCCGACTTCTCCCCAGATATTTCACTCGATTGCGTGACGAATCTTCCGTTTGATTCCTTCTTAGGCCAGGATGGCAGTGGCAGGCTTCCACCTCATCGAAGTTCAAACGGTGGCACGGATATGCAGTCTGCTCAGTCGACCACATCTGGATCACCTATGTCTCTCGCAGGTGCCAAACGCAAGTCGGGTAGTGATGACGATGGATCAACAGTTAGCGGCTCGGCTCCGCCCGGAAAGAAGATGCCCTCGAAGAAACGAGCCCACAATGTAATTGAAAAGCGATACCGAGCCAACTTGAATGAGAAAATTGCCGAGCTCAGAGATAGCGTCCCCAGCCTACGGGCCTCGAGACACCTGGTCGATGAAGACGATGGGGAGGGTGTTACGCCAGCCAATAAGTTGAACAAGGCCTCTATTCTTTCCAAGGCAACGGAGTATATTCGACACCTGGAAATCCGTAATAAGCGGCTGGAAGATGAAAATACTGCTCTCAAGAACAGACTACGACAATTGGACAAGGCCGTCGATCAGAATGTGACATCTGCGGCCTCAGTTTCTTCACCAAGCAATTACACCGAGTCTGGTGCAAGCTCATCACCGAGCGTCTTCTCAAA